AATATTATTAATAGGAACTAAGGAAAACATGAAGAAAATAACGATATGTCTAAATTTAATCCTTAAACTGACCCTTCAAGTTGTCGATCAAAAATTCTTAAGATACTAGAGTTTAGGCATTCATTTTTTCATTTTCTAAAATGGATGTCTTTCAACTTTATTTCTCATTTTTAGCGATATAATTACATATTGCCTATTACATATTTATATAATTACATATTTAGGATCTCAAATAATAACTCATTAACCAAGGATGTGGAGCCAATAATATGGCATCATTAATATAGTAATACTAAGTATGTAAAAATTTATTTAATATATTCTATTCGTTTAAGCTGACATTCATGAAATTCACAGTGATGAGATTTATGAAAGCTTTTTGCAAGAGAAATTTCTATCACGCAGAACTTTATATGCTGGATTATTTGCTCAGATAGCTTTTTATACAATATTATATTATTTAATAACCAGTATTATTTTCAAAAAAAAAGGAAAAAATAATGATGCATTATGTTCTTCAATAACAGGAACACATAAAGAGGTAGGAGCATGGACCTAATATTGATTTCTAAATTGATGCCATAAGCCATAATCCTTTCAAAAAGTAAGAACACAGGTCGTGCTGTTTGGCCCGATGGTGTAGGCAATGTACCGAATGATAAGCTTTGATAATTTTTTTCCAACCGAATATTATTAAATAATTCCTTCTTAATTTGAGCGTAATTTAATAATTTCGTAAAAATACCAGAAATAATTCAATAAATAATTCAACTGCTATATCGCAAAATCCTATTAAAAATTCTACAAATATTGTTTGGAATACTATTTTCAATAAAAACTCGTATATTAATATTTTTTAAATTGACTATAAGTAAATCCTTTTTCTTTCCCTTTTCAAATCATTTATCATTTAATTTGCATTAAGGACTTCAGCATTGTTGATTATTCTTAAAGCATTCCTTGGATTAATTCCCTAGATTTTTAGAATTTCTTACTTATTTATTTATCTGATTAAGTAAACATGACCATCAATCTGGTGCCAACCTCCTAACTTTTTTAATCATCTTGAAAAGTATAAAAACCTTTCGCATATTAGTTGTTTTTAGAGAAGGAATAGCGTTTCTTAAAAAATGAATTTTAAAAGTGATTGGGGATATCTTAATTAACAAAAATTATGAGAATGAAATAAACAATCTTCAAATCGAACTGATTTAAAAGTCCACTCTATCTTTTCATTTTCTTATGATTTTTCGTTCTTATTTTATCCCCTTTTTCTATTTTCCTTTTTTCATTGAATTATTTTTGACGAACTGTAGAAAAGTTTCAAATGCTTAAAGCGAATATAAAGGATTTATGAGTTTTTACCGTTGTTTACTTTCAACAAGGATTCGATAGGAACAAAACTGTCATTAAAAATGAAATTTGAGCGGCTGTGGCTCTTCAGGCAAAAGAATCATTTAAATCACAAATTTTTAAACCCTTTTTATGGCTCCACTTCTTTAGTTGATCCCTCAAAAGATTAGATTGAGGATTATTAGGTCATAAATGATAAAACAAACACAAAGTGATGGCTTTGAAATACATTTGCTTTTTAAATTTCTTTGAAAAAAACTGCATCATTTAAAATATAAAAAATATGGAACTTGGAATAAAAAAGCTAGGAAGCAAAGAATTGAAATATAAAGTGGAAAATAATTGCATATATTTCATAAACTATATTCTAAGTTTGGGAAAAAATGTTTAAAATGGCATTTTAAAAATTTTGAAATTTAAAATATCATTCTGAACTATACTGAATGAAGATTTTTAATGAGCCTTGCGACTGATGAGTATGACTGATGTAGCAAATTTTTGTATATTAGCTTAGAAATTCGGTAAATATAAACGAATTTTTCCTTCCCTTTTTCTATTTATTTTTTCCCCAAATATATATCTATATAACGGGATTTTCAATTTGGACTTTTATATAACACTTGGAATTTTTTCGAAATAACAATCAAATTTTTATATTCTATTGCATGATGTAATCTTTCCATAGATCTGATGACCTTCTAGCAGGCCTGGGGTCTCCGAGAAATGTCCCATGGCCGCCAGTGAGAGCTTCGTCATTATTTTCAATAAACAAAGGAATAAAATTTTGTGACCCTCGTGAAAATCTTCCGAAAATTCGAAAATTTTGCATAGCAGATAATTCTGCATATGCTTATTTAAGATAACATAGTTCGCAATCGTTCTCCTACATTCAGGTTCATTAATCTATTACGATTATGATTTAACACAATGTTTTCAAAAGAAGGATTAATATTAACTAAAGAGTTGAGCTACAAAAGTTGAAAAGAGCACAAAAAATTTTAGTGGATGCGCGCATGTGGTTTGAGAAAATAATTTAGTTTTTTAACATTTCGCCATAAATATATAAGTTTTCTGTTTAGAATTTTTATGGAAAATGAATGGAAAATTTTAAGTAAAAAAGGTATTTTTACTTACGCTCACCATTTGCGGTTAAACTATTGAATAATCGGAAAACTTTTGCCAAAGAATAACTTGGTGATAGAAATGTAAGTATGTCGTCAGTACCACCTGAATTTTTGAAAGATTGGAATAGAAGCAGAAATGATTTTTTTGGATCACCATGTTTGCCAATTTTAGAACAATTTAATATTTCACATTTTTGCTCGTTGATTATAAAAAATCTTTATGGAATATCGAAACTAATATACAAATATTTCTTACAGTACAAAGAAAATATCAGAGGCACCAGTAGAAGGTGTGGTAATACCCGTGGCTGCGAGAGGACGTGTGGTTCATATTGTTGGTGTATTTCAGACTGTGCCGAGCACAAGTACAGATTCATTTGATAATGGTATTTTTGGTTAGTGTTTAGAGAATTGCTTGTGATAATTTTCAAATTCTCTTTCTCAACAGTAAAAAAAATTTAGTCTTTGCCATTGTCAAAGAAAGATTTTAACAAAGGCCTTTACTTTTCCGTTATTCGATGGATATTCATACAGGGATGCTAGTGGTACTCTAATATGACAATTATAATATAATATTATTTTCTTATAGAGATTGCGAAATGATAAGGGATACATATACATATAAAACTGAACCAGATGAAGAAAAAAAAAAAAAAATTTAGTTATTAATGAAATTATATAGTTATATGATATATTAGAAGTGAAGCGACATTATAATATCAGTATTTACAATATCAGTGGAAGAGACTTTTCAGGAGAAAATTATTTTTCTTTGAAATTTTCCATTTTTCATAACTTTCATGTTATTTTTTCTTTTTCTTATCGGTGGTTAGGCGATTAGGGTGAGCAGTTTCAAGCCTCCCGATCTGGTTTCATTACTGAATCACTATTTTTCCATCGTTTAAGCCCACATAGGGGTATTTTACTTTATAAATAAATCAATTTCCTTTTAAGTTTGGTTAATTTTTTTTGATTAATTTTTTGGTTAGTTTGGTTAGTAATTATCGCAATTTGTTTGTGGCAGAAAAATTTTCCTAGGGATTTGGTTATTAAAAATATGGTGTTTGTTCTCATCTCAGACTGCCGAAGCTAATCCCGACAAGAGCAAACCTGTTTTTCAGGAATCCGAATCATGCTGCCGATTTACCTATACTTCTATCAGCAAATGGCTCGCTGATAAAATTTGTTTGCTTCAATAAACCAGCGAAGCAAACCAAGAAAAAAATACCAAAAAAAATTTTAATTTCTAAATTTCTAAAAAAAATTTTAAAAAATATAAAATATCGTAAAAATTGAAAATGCAAATGAGATTTAATTTGCTTTCTTTCATATTCGCCTCAGTTCAAAAATATAGCATCTTTCTTAGAAAGATTTTAGAAAAGTTGACGTAAATTAATTTTTTTTTTTGAGAGTTTTCACCATTAGCAGTTTAACTCGCTCTGCTGGCTTGTCGCATTGGAAAAATATGCCAGAGAGTTTCTTGGCGATAGAATAGCGATACAGATGAGTCACCAGCATCACCCAGATTTTTTTCGGGCAGGTTTGTTTCTGCGGGGAATGGAACCTTAGTGTCGGCGCTCCAAATTGAGCAAAAACCCACTAAGCCATCCTTTCCTCTATTTTTAATTGGTTTACCCACTACAGGATTATAATCATTATAATCATTATCATTATAAATTTTAAAAAAAAGCATCAATAATGAATTGGAATTGCCCTTGCAATTTCTGGCTGTTTTGTTTTGTAGAAACTGTTTTTTTCAAAATTTTCAAAATACGATGGCAAAAGTATGTAGAATCCATTTAATTTCTATCATCAAAACATTTGCCAAAAAATTCAAAAAATTTCTATAATTGGTTTTTTGTTTCAAAAACCCTGAGGGAACAATGTTTGATGGAATGGTTCAGTTCAAAAATTTTTATCATAAATTTTTATTCATTTTTACCACTATAAATAGTTTAATTCTTGAATAATAAAAGATTATATGTTTCAAAAAACGAGAAATTTATGTTTCCTATATTAAAATTGAATAAATGTTTCTAAAAAGTCTCACATGGTCGGTGCTCAAGATTTAGTTAGATTTATACATTCGAAAGAACTAAGAATTTTTTGACAATCTTTATTTAACCACTATTTCAGCGTTATTTACTTAATTTAGTTCATGGAGGCATAAATTTTATGAAATTTGAGAATATTTCAGTTAATTTGAACTTTTCTAGATTGCACTTTCATTGATCGAATTCAAAAATTTTTTTAACTTTTTAGTAATTTCCATAAATATTTTTTAAAGAAGTATGGCAATATGTGCAATCACGATAAAATCGATCAGTAAATAAGAGCGTTGATGCTGAAATTGTATTCCTAATTATGCTAGCGACTCACTTGTATTTCTATCCCTAAATGATTGCCTGGTAAAATTTATGTTCCTGCAAGCCATCTGTGGGAACCTAACTGGGAATGGCGAATGTTGTTCAAAAAAAATCTCGATTTCAAATGAAAATTTTTATAGTGGAAAAGCGTGACGATTTGCTAACAGCAAATCCGCTCAATGAACGAAAAATACAACGACAGTATACAAATTCATCAAATACCACTGAACAAGATGAATTTACATCCGAAGAACTTCAAGAATTCGCTCAAGCTTTTAAGGTAAGAATTTTCTTCACTCTTCTTTTAAAATCTAAATCGCTCAAATTCTTGGTTCGTTTCTATTGTTCAATTGTTTTGACCGCTACTGTCAATTATTTTAAATTTTCCGCTTGAATACAAGAATGAAGAAATATGTCATAAATTGTGATAAAAAATAAGGAATGATGATATAAACGTTAATAAAATCAGAATTTTTAATAGAAAAATAATTAGAAAAAATTGATAAAACTATTGTATTGAAAATGAATAAATAAAATTATTCTTTGTCCCATTCAAATTAAACTATTTTTTGGAAAACTTTTTTGAAAAATAAAGTTTTGTTATAAACTTTCTTCTAATTAATTCTTTTTAAACATTTTTTAAGGATTTTTAAGTATTTTTCTTCATTTTTTTTGATCTTAAAACTTTTATTTTGCATATTTTTGCCTCAATTGACTGAATAAAATCTCAAATAATTTGTGTCTGCCTTTGCTCAAAAAATTTTTCTATTGGAATAATTACTTCCAAACATTTTTGTTGAACTTCTGTTGAAGTGACGTATTATTTCAGCTGTTCTGTAAATTTGTCTATTCTTAAGTCGCACTAAGCTTAATAAGGCTTGCATCACAACATATCAATAATGACGCCAATTTATTTCCCTTTGATAACTTTCATTATTTCTGGTTTCGTGTTCCGATGACTACTGGTTTGATGCTTAAATCCTTTCATCAGAGAATCAGATTATAAATAACGATGGACAGGTTCCCATGATGGAACTGGAATTAAACCTTGAATTAGAATCCAATAGAAATAATATATTGTTTTACCATTGTATACACAAAGAATTGATGAAAAGCAGCAGAATTCATTGCATCTTATTTCATCATTGTGCCAGAATAAACGTTATGTAATGTATTATCTAAGAATACATCGTATAAAAATTTAAGATGTTCGATAAAGATGGCAATGGAACAATGAATATCAAAGAACTTGGAATAGCAATGAGAATGTTAGGATTAAATCCAACCGAAGAGGAATTATTGAATATGATTAATGAATATGACGTTGATGGTAATGGAAAAATAGATTTTTTTGAATTCTGTAAGATGATGAAAGAAATGAACAAGGAAACTGATCAAGAATTAATACGTTTGGCTTTTAAGTAAGCTTCTTTTTTAATATATATAATTCACTAATTCTTATATAATTTTATGATTTTATTTTAACAAAATTTTTTAAGGAATCATTTCAATATTTTTAAAATTTTCTATGATTTATTATTAGCATCTTTCTTGATAAGCGGCATCATTATTGGTTTGACTGGCTTTACTGATTATTAAGAGATTCCTGCATCAAGAAATCATTAAGTTGACAAAAAAGATTTTGAATATGAATAATTCTTTTTAATGATTTTTTAAAAGTTTTATAATTTTAAAACTTTAACTTCACGTATTTGCGCTGGTTGGGTAAAATTGCAAATTATTTGTATTTATCAATCACACCTCACCTTTGCTCAAAATATTTGTGGTAAAGAATTAATAATGAAATCTTTTTGTTAAATTTCTCACATTTTTCAAAAACTCCTTTAAATTTAAATTTTAATTTTATCATATTTTGTAATTTTGCATGTAAGGAATTTAACGCCTCCATTGAATGGATAAAATCTCAGTGATTCGCGCACCCATCGTGGCTCTGAATATTCTATAGAATTGTAAATTCGTTTATTCATAGGTGATAGAATGCGCTCCCAGAATTTCTGTATTTTTGCTTATTAGGATTAATCACGCCAAGAAGCCAAATCGATATTGTTTGCTTCAGTTGGAATTTTTTTTGAAGAATGCTCATTTCTGGCTGGGTAAATTTTGCAATGGAGTCACTTGACATTACACTTGAGTCGTCACTATTATCTGGATTTTTGATAAGATTTAATCTTGCGAGTAGAACCTTGGCTGCGAAACGAGAGCAATAACCCACTGACTTTTCAAGTTGAAATGATCAAATTCAAAATTGGTGAAAAAATGTCGTTATATCGTTTATTGTAGAGTCTTTGATAAAGATGGAAATGGTTATATTACTGCACAGGAATTCAAGCATTTTATGACGACGATGGGTGAAAAATTCAGCGAAGAAGAAGTGGATGAAATAATAAAGGAAGTTGATAAAGATGGAGATGAACAAGTGCTTTTTTTGAAATAATTGTTTAAATAAAATAAAAAAATAAAAACTTGAAGTTAAAAATAAAATTTAGTAAACAAACAACAAGAATAATTTATTAATTTAGTTTATTAATAATTCAACAATTTCAGATAAATTATGAAGAATTTGTTCAAATGATCGCTCCAATTGTTCACGATGATAGTAAAAATGATCCATTTGCTGAATCAGTAAAAGATTTCGATGCTGAAAAATGATTCCTTCCGTGTGTTGTAAATAACATTGCTCATATAAATGCTCAAGGAAAATACATTGGTTTCGTTAATGTTATGCTCAAATCTCATTTTTAATCAAATCTTTTAACCAACTATTTATTTATAATAGAATAAAAAATTAAGGTACTGTTGAAATTTTGTATAAATTATTTACATTTTAATCATCTAAAAATTTTCGACAATAAACAACCTCAAATCAAGTAAAAGAAATCTTAAATATGGTTTAGTTCTAAAGCAAATTCTATAGCCTATTCTTTATTCAACAATTCGCGATAGAGTTGCTGGAGAATTAAAAAACAACCAAGTGGGTTACAAATAATTAAGCCGAACACAATAATTATAAATCCTATCCTAAAATTTATTTAGAAATTTTAAGAAAAAATTTCAATAATAATATGGTAATAAGCCAAGTGTTTAACTCTTAAACGATTATGTAGAAGTAAATAAGTGGCTGGTACCTATATTTTCACAACGCTTGCTGCTATTACTGGAAATTTTGGAAATTATGGAAATTTTTAAAAATTTTCTCCGGTAGTCAGTTGATGTTTAGTCCATAGTACAGGAGTTTTTACCAGCAGGATTTTTTCACATTGGCTGAATTATTTATTTATTGATAACCAGCCAAGCAGGGCGACAATGCCATGTGCTTGTATTAATAATAACAGTTAAGATAACAGAAAAAGAAAACAAAAAAAAAATATAAACAAAATTAATTATAAAAGAATATGACAAAAATTAACAATTTAAAGAGGAAATTACAGATCAATATAATAAGTACAATTCGAAGTAACATATATAACCTAAAATCGAGATTTCTCACTTCTTGCAGTTCTTGCCTGGTGTAAACTCTTCTCTTTTTTTTTTTGTTTTTAAATAATATCGTAAATGATATTATCTAGTCTTTTTTTGAAGACATCTAAGGATGACGCACAAGCTACATCGTTCGGTAGTTTCGGTAGTTCCAGTAGTTAATAGTACGAATAAAAAAGTCATGAGTCCTTAGTTTAGTTTTGCATATAGGTTTTAGTAATTTTAAGCCATTAGTTCTTGTTGGATTCAAATTTAATCTAAAGTTATAATATTTCGAGCAATCTAGTTTAACATAACCATACAGAATCTTATATGTGTAAATTAAATCTTGCTTAATTCTACGAACTGAGAGAAAATCCATGTTATGTTGTAGAAGTGTTCTTTTATAATTAAAATTATAATTTTTATTAGGAGAGAGGCGTCTTAGAAAATATTTTTGGAGTCCTTCGATTATTTTGCCTGTTTTGCGATGTCTAGGGGAGTAACATATAGTATTGTAGTCAAGAAGAGGCCGAACGAATGCTTTATATAATTTGATAAGATAACTTTCAGTTTTGTTCTTAAACGAACGAAAAATAAAATTTAGTATCCTTGAGGATTTTTTTACTACGATTCTGCAATGAAGATCGAAATCGAGATTTTCATCCATGATTATTCCAATTTCGGAGATGTGTGAGACTTTATTGATTAAATTACCATTTATAAAAAGGTCGATATTAGGAAGATCGAATCCTTTAGAGTTGATGTGAAGAACGCTACATTTTTGGAAGGAAAGGGTAATTTGCCTGTCGTATAGCCAGTCAGCTATTCTGTTGAGGTCCTCCTGCAGTGGAAATAGGCTATCCGTTCTACCATGAGAATAATAAATTTTACAGTCATCAGCATAAAGATAAATAGTAGAATTTATTACCACTGTGGTGATATCATTTATATATAATAGAAATAGCAATGGCGCAATACAACTGCCTTGGGGAACGCCTGATTTAACAGGTGTCATGTCAGAAAGAGTGTTGTTNTTTTTTTTTTGTTTTTAAATAATATCGTAAATGATATTATCTAGTCTTTTTTTAAAGACAGCTAGGGATGACGCACAAGCTACATCGTTCGGTAATTTGTTCCAGTAGTTAATAGTACGAATAAAGAAGTCATGGGTCCTTAGTTTAGTTTTGCATATAGGTTTTAGTAATTTTAAGCCATTAGTTCTTGTTGGATTCAAATTTAGTCTAAAGTTATAATATTTCGAGCAATCTAGTTTAACATAACCATACAGAATCTTATATGTGTAAATTAAATCTTGTTTAATTCTACGAACTGAGAGAGAATCCATGTTATGTTGTAGAAGTGTTCTTTTATAATTAAAATTATAATTTTTATTAGGAGAGAGGCGTCTTAGAAAATATTTTTGGAGTCCTTCGATTATTTTGCCTGTTTTGCGATGTCTAGGGGAGTAACATATAGTATTGTAGTCAAGAAGAGGCCGAACGAATGCTTTGTATAATTTGATAAGAAAACTTTCAGTTTTGTTCTTAAACGAACGAAAAATAAAATTTAGTATCTTTGAGGATTTCTTTACTATGGTTCTGCAGTGAAGATCGAAATCGAGATTTTCATCCATGATTATTCCAAGATCGGAGATGTGTGAGACTCTATTGATTAAATTACCATTTATAAAAAGGTTAGGAAGATCAAATCCTTTAGAGTTGATGTGAAGAACGCTACATTTTTGAAAGGAAAGGGTAATTTGCCTGTCGTATAGCCAGTCAGCTATTCTGTTGAGGTCCTCCTGCAGTGGAGATAGGCTATCCGTTCTACCATGAGAATAATAAATTTTACAGTCATCAGCATAAAGATAAATAGTAGAATTTATTACCACTGTGGTGATATCATTTATATATAATAGAAATAGCAATGGCGCAATACAACTGCCTTGGGGAACGCCTGATTTAACAGGTGTCATGTCAGAAAGAGTGTTGTTAACATATACAGCCTGGTAACGATCTTTTATGTAATCTGAAACCCAGTTATAGAGGTCCCCTGTTATGCCATAACTATTAAGAGTGACCAATAATTTGCTATGGGAAACAGTACGAAATATGTAAAGGCAAAAAATTTTAAAAAATAAAAGCAAAAACCAATAATGTCATTATTAATACGATTTAATTTGTTAAAAAAATTTAAATAATAAAATTTAATAAAAATTAGAGTTCAACAAAACTAGCCAATTTTCATATAGAACGCGTAATGTATACAGATCAAAGACATCCAAAGATATTCAGAGTGGAAATTTGATCAAACATTGACTAGTTTTTTATGAAAATTTTGCGTCGTTTTTCATAAAAAGAAACGAAAACAGCAAAAAGATTTATAAAAATCTTTTCACATTAAGACTTTCAAAAACCAACTTTTCCGAAAATGAATCAGCAATAAACAAAAATTGTCGCTTCTTTCAGTTGAAAAAATAAATGATGAAGAAGAGATAATATGGCAATGGGATGGGAATGTGAGAAAGGATGAAGAAAAAGCAATTAAATGTATAAACTATGATGTTGTAAGCACAAACGAAAAGTTAGCAGAACTTGTCTTACTGGCTAAAAAATATGTGAAAATAATATTTCCATATTTAAAGAAATATTTTAAAAACAAACCAAGACGTTCAACCATCGATAATGCACGAATAATTTATGTTGATTTAAAAGAACAACTGTTGATGGCAATTTTCTTTTCCTTTGACGAAATTCTTCGCTAAAAAAATCAGAAAACTAAAGAAAAATTGTTAGAATTTAAATAACCAAATATAAAATGTATCAACGCGAAAAAAAATCAGCTCGCATCTTATTAAAAAGTTGAAACCATTAAATACGCACAGAAAAGCACATAAAATTACAAAAGAACTTAATTAGTGAAGACCCGGTGGTATTTCCTATCAAACAAATCTTTACTGCTTACTGCTTAGGAAGGATTCCGCGATGGAATATGGTGATCCAAATTACTGTCGTCTTTACCCAAATTCATCAATGACAATGTCAGCAATTCATCCGAGATCTTAGGCAACCTCCCTTATCACAAATGAAGTAGTTTCGACATAATATACAATTAAATTAAATGAAAACAGTTAAAAAAGACTGCAGAGTATAATGGAGACCTATTAAAGGCCCATAACCAAAAAAACATCGATTCAGATGACAATGATCATTTCTTAACAAAACAATTCTTGGAAAACAATAACTTTTTTTGAGAAAGCTCCGATTCAAGTTCCGATAACGGCAACAGCCTTCAGAAAAGAAAAGAACGAGGGAGCACTCGCACAAAACCACTTAACTATTTTGGGAACATGGACGATATATACAACTAAGCAAAGTATTCTGACAATCGTTTCGCACATTTAAACTCATCAAGTGGACTCCTAAATGAGGACAACTGGCCACTATTTCCCAACTTCGAAGAGAAAAAGACAACACAAAATAGTGCAGAAAACCAGCATCCAAAAATATGGTCATCCACATACAACTTGGTACGAAAACCTACCGCAAAACATTCGCTACACCGACCACAGCGCTACGTGACATTATTCCAAATCTAATAATAAAAGTTCTAGAGAGAAAAGAAACCTTCGGAAACTATATTTATTAGATCTCTTGGACTAAACATAAATGCTGAAGAAGGGAATTTTCAAATTCGATGGTTTCTAAATTTTACTATGGAATCGAACGGTTGAAAAAAACGCCCCAACGAAACAAATTGTTATGATTCCAAAAGAAATTTATTTCATAACATTGGCGTCTAACAAAAGATTTTACGTTAATTTTCATAAAAATTATAAAAATTATTCATAAAAATTATAGAAGGAATTTCTTGCGTATGAAACTTTTCGCGCGTATTCATCTCTCTCACAACCCAGCAACCGATTAAAATCCCGTTTTCACGATCTCTGAACATCCGATCCCTGTTGTCAAACTCTCTTGTTTCACGATTCATTGTGTTATAAATAAATTTAACAAAAATATTAGACACAATTTCAAATTTGATTTTTATTAATATTTAATAAATTATAATTTTATTGGATATATGATCGACACTTAAAGTTATTTTTACTTAAAAATTACTCATTTCAAACTCATAAAATCTCCAAATAAACCATTAACCGACAATATTGTAAATTATAGCCAAGAATTAAATTAACATAAATAAATAAGACAAATATGGAGAAATAAAATAAAAATTCTGAATATTACGGTAATTCGGATTCATTGGAAGGCAGTGTCGCCGGATGGCTCACCACCTTGCTGAGCTCCCGAAGCGTCGAGACGCTGGCGCTGAACTCGCGCTGAATAGACCTGCCTTTCACATGGGCAATGGGCAATGCTGGCCACTCACCTGTCCCCTAACGAAATTTATAACTCGGCGCAGCCAAAGATCAATGTCACCACCAATAATAACAATAACAATCTGAAAACCAATAAAAAGTACCAATTAACCACGCATATCGACCACAAGTTGATGATTCATGCACTAAAAATAATATACTTACTTGTTTACTTTTCTCTTGAGCTACATGGAAATTAAAAAATTAATTGGCAAAAGTCCAATTTCTTTCGTTTTAGGACACTAGTTCGACTCAATTCAAGTAAATTTAATAGAAACGAGGATGAAGCAGGGATGATTATCAATTTATTGAAGTGAAAAATTTTCGGGCGTAAGGGGGCACTTTTTCGATGGAAGCCGCAGAAGCAATGGCTTTGTTGATAAGAGAATTTTAAATTTCCATTACTATTTGGAAAAAAAGAATTTGGCGGGTTTCAGCGGACTGCCAGAAAACTCTAAAACTCTGAAAACTCAGTTCGCTCTGATTGAGTGGAAGTTGACCATATGGCCTATGCTTGCTTCAAAGGAAATTTCTGCAATATTTCAGTTATCAGTGTATTCCAACTTTGTGCAATGTCCTTGATAATCTGTGCGGGACTTCAATTGCTTGCAAAATGCCTACCGAAATATGACATGGCCCTAATCGGGAGAGACTGGAATGCGTATAGGTCATGATGCCGCTACGATAAACTCAGCAATTGGCAAATATGGTACCGGAGTCCTATTCAAATGGAGAATGCCTTCTTTACTTTGCTAAAGAGCATGAATTTTTTATTAATACATGCTTTCGGCATCGGAGAAGACATCTATCTTCCTGATACTCTCCGTATAACGAACACTCCAACCAGATTGACTACATCTTAATCAATGTACGTTGGAAAAGTTTCGTACTTCTTGTAGTCGTTCCTATCGGAGACTGGTTCATATTATGGTTCTTATATCATTTCGAGGGTTAACTTAAGATTTACCATTAATACAACAAGCCCATTGTTTAGCATTCACCAGTAGTGACGTTCAATTTTGCAGCTGAGGATTCGTTGAAAGAAAGCCATCGTGTACTTTTAATTTTGAAATAAAACAGATAATTTTATAGCAGAAATATAGTTCAGCTTGATGAACCGTTTAAAAACGAAAGGATCAGTAATAATGATTGGCAAAATAACAATAATTACCACTACTCATAACTGTCTCTTATACGTTTCCACTATATTTCAAGCAATTTTGTATATTTTTATTTTTAAATAATTATTGGCGAAGCGAAATTTTTTTATTTGTTCATTCATTTCAACATAGTTGTGTGTATTTAAAAAATCGAAAAAATGCAAAAATAAAACCTGGTTTTTACGAAAACTTGAGAAGACCTTTTGTAAATCTAATTTCGCATGGATCGTTAAGTGGTTCTATGTTTTGAGTTTTTTGTTCATTTAAGCAATATTCAACAATTAAACGCTATATGGCGCTATTTTATTCTAAAAATAGCACATATGTTTCACAATTCGGCGATGACCGATTAAGCCATTTTGATTATCATTTAATTATTGATTATCATTTAGCGACACCAAAATTTAAATTCAGATTTTATATTTATTTTTCACGATAAATAGAAAAAACAATTTATATAATTTACTTTTCGAAATTTAAGAAATTTTATAAAAAAAGCGTCAGCAAATGAAATGAATCATTAATAAAAGAGTAAAATACTGAAATTAAATATTTCTTTTGAACAATTATCTTTTAAGTGGAAAGATTTTTGATAAAAAAAATTTAAGCTAAAAAAATACGTAAAAAAATAAAAATGCAAAACTAGACGAACAAAATTCCTAAAAAGTATATAAATGCGTTGAATTGAAGAAATAAATCCTTTAATATTCCATGGATAATTGCTCCGAAGAGAAATAAATAATAACAACTAAAAATTAATCAAAAATTAATCCATGAGTTAGGAAAAATTAAATTTTATGCATTAAAGTGGTCAAGTGGCACATTATTTCGACAAGGTCAAGGCCATGGGTCCGATGGTCGACACGGCAACCCACGTGAACCTTCCCATCCTCAGGTGACTCTTTGGCGAAACGAACCCACTTCTAATAGTTTATGGAATCAGCCTAAACTGAAATTGTTAAAAATAAAGAAATAAATCTACAATAAATCATTTCCTTCTAATGAAATCCAAATCAATTCATAATTTTCAATGGAAAGAAGATATTCGATCTTTTAACATTTATGAAATATATTTAAGAACCTATGAAAAAAGAAACGCTTCAAATATTCCCTTTTCTATGCGTTTCTTTTTTCTACGTAGTTAGAGGGAGGATAGGGGAGTGGATAACGGTTAAGACTGTCTATCACCAACTGATTCTTGCAAAAAGTAATCGTACATTAGCAAACAGCTCACCTAACCAGAAATGGTAAATAAGTATATCATTTCTTCACCGATATTTAAACTAAATATCCCGCACATATATTTTTGTTCATTGAATAAATTTCATTATATTAATTCAATTTAAACAATAAAAACGGTTTTGCCACATCTAACGATTTTTTTCTAATGGATATTTTAATTCCTAATTATTATTTTGATATTTACATTAAGATATTTACATTTAATTTATTCTATTTTTTGCTTATAATCATACGCCATTTGCAATATTCGCAGAACCAAGTACTTCATAACAACCACAATCTTAAGCAAATAAGACAAAAAAAACAGCAAGTTTTAGCTTATGAATGACAAATATAAAATATGCAAAAAAAAATGAATTTAAGCTTGGGAAATCGAAATATAAAAAATATGAAGAAAAAGGATTAAGTTTAAATTGCAAAATTAATTAAAAGATGGACAGAGGCTAATTAGCAAAATTAAATAATTATAAATATAAATATAAAAAACTTTATTTATAAATAATAATAAACAGAAATATTTTTCCAGCTTCATTGTTCTATTTCAGTCACTTTGCAATTAAGTTAAGTTGGAATCGGTTTCTGCAACTGCACGAAAAGAATCTGGAATTTCACATTTAACGACTGAAATAATTGAAACTCTTTGAAATCTTTCGTCAAAATGAAAACAATTGTTTCCATTAGTTTATTTTACAAAATTTACTGTTGAAAAAAAAGATTAATTAATTAGCACCTGACAGAAAATCAGTACATTTCGAAAAAGTTTTTCTGGGAAACGATTTGATAAGACTTACTTGAGCCATCAATAAGTATTTTTTCTTCATTGCAAATGAATGATATTTAATTTTTAATTTGTTCCATCCATTTCTCACAGTAGTAGCGTAAACAAAGCCATTTGGATTTCCCTGGAGAGATTGAACAGGAAGATCATTCATTGTGACTCGTTCGAAAGGACTTTTTCCCCACATACGTACACGCCACTTAAAATATGTAGGGAATAAATCCATAATAGTTAAATCATTAATTATTGGAAATATTTTATGACCAATTTTTGAATATAAAAACTGTTTTGAAAAAACTGTATCAGAAAAAAGATAACTACGGCGTCTGCCTAAAAAGAACAATTCTTTAATAGAAAATGTGATAAAATAAAAAAATACATTCAAAAAATCAAGCATCAATTTCGATCAAATAATTGATATTAATCTATCTGAATATAGGAAAATTAATTTTCTAACAGCACAAATTGTAGTTTTACTCACATTATAGGAGCTTCTATAGTCGAATATACCAAGAAGGATGACATAGAGAAAGCGTTCGCTTGTTAATATTGGTGGATCATAATTAAAACAGATTTCAGTGGCGAAATCTGTCCATTCAGATTCCCAGATTGGTCGTACAATCACTGGAGTCAATGTTCGCCTCACCGTAATATCGCTGAAATAATTACATTTTATCAATATGTTATCAATTAAGCAAAAATCATTTATTTTTTATTGGCCCTGGCCTTAAAGCAGAGTATCATTTTCCAATTTTACCGAGATCGTTCCCCGTCTTATAAGTTTTATCAGTCATGCTACTGATAGACAAAATTTCTTAAATTGTAACATAGTTTTTTTAAAATCCGTTGAGATCCACTGACTCAAAAATCTCAGTGCTGTACTTATTCTGATATCTGGAAAATCCTCATAATTCTCTCAACACCCTTCATTTGCCATCATATTCTTTCAATAGCCATCGTTAACCCTTTAATTGTTTAATTTCTAATTGTGGGCATAATAAAATTGCGACGTTTTCTTGAGAGACAAAAAGAGGGAGAAAAATATTATAAGATTAAAAGTGGATATGAAGCAATGGAAGCAACCAAAGTGGTGATGGCGTTATTGAAGGATAATGGCAAAAATTTTGAAGGAACATTGGAATTTTAAAATGATATTTAACGAAGATCGTTTGCGGTTTCCCATATAGCCATTAGAATACAGATTTCAATACAGAGAGCCGAAATTTTGCGAGTAATACGAATAGCTGTTTTTTATGGAATATTAGTGGTGAATACCGCGAAGAAAAAATGAGCAGCACGTTAAGGTATCTTTAATGAGATAGGAGGATTACGTGAAGATTGTGGCTAGTTTTAAGGATATTAAATGGGATTAAGAGAGTTTCAGAGCATAGAAGATAATACATTTTGAGGTGTCAAATATGCCTGAGTGGACAATGCAAGGAAATTATTATTGATAATGCAACGTAAAAAATAAATCATAGTACTGAAGAATAAAGGAATTTCAAAATGAAATATTCTAGAACATTTAACAGGGAATGAACAGCGCTATCACGGCAGATTTTTGAGGAATAGGAGAAATGTTTTTCTAAAGAAAAATATATACCTATACATGAACATGGCAATATTAAATAAATTTAGAAACGAAACAATCACACGTACCAATCGGCTAACAACCGACTTAAATAAGAAATGTTCATTTCTTATCTCTGATAATTTATGAATCCAAAGGAAATCGACGATTATGAAATGATTTTCTTTCTTTAAATGCATAAAAAATAATAATGAAATAAGAATAATAATGAAAATAAGGATTTAAAAAATAATAATTAATTATATCATGCTCAAAATGAAAAAAACCTACATAAGCACTTTTACTCGTGCTTCATTGAAGGATTCATTAACTTTATTGTCATGTTCAATTATTTTACTGATATAACTGAAAACAGCATTAATAGCATTAGATAAAAGAATTACTCAAAGGCATCTTAAAAAATAAAATCAATTATTCTTTAGCCGAAAATAGCCTAACGCAAAATGCAAATAAATAATTAAGAATAAAATAATTTTAGTAAAACAAAGGAACGCCAATATTAGAATTTGAAACTACCTGTTTTTCTCTATCATATTTCTATAACGATTTGCGATATTAGATGCATCAGCTCCAAATTCAAGTAATAAAAATATTGCTTTTAAAACTTGATAATGAGGTCCTCGACTCTTTAACAGAAGATCCAAAGGTGTTTTGCCACTTTTATCACGGATATTTACAGGTGACCTGGGCAAAAAATAATCAGTCAAGCTATGATTGAAATTTTTTTTTTGCCGTAATAGAAATAAAAACCTCAGTAAGAGCAGTGTTCTGATTCGACACCAAAGATTAGCGGAAACTGCAAAATGAAGTGGTGTACGTCCACCTATCCTATCAACTGCACGTAAATTGGAACCATCTTGAACCAACTGGCGAACCATATCATCTACAGAATGCGAACTGTTACAGGATATTTCACATAACTGAAAGTACATTTCACATAAATTTTATTTGGTTATAGCTCAACATATTTTCGTTCATTTTGTTAGTTTTTAATACCTTTTTCTTTCTTTCAATGGTACTGTTAATACTCTGCGTTTCTTTTTTTTTATAGAGAACACATTAAGGAGCATAAAAAGTAAGTAGACATGTAGGTTTCATACTTCTATAAAACTATATTAACAGTACCATTCTGAAGATTTCTGGATATAATTTATAATGAAACTGAGAGCAAATTTTTATGAAAAAATACTTTCATTTACCAACAAAACTTATTTATTGATAAAACTTTCTTCTAACAAGTAGTTAAATGAATAAACAATCAAAGCAGAAAACCTCTGTTACTACTGTTTTACCACCATATTCTCGATTAAAATCAAATTTTCTTCTATCTCCAACGCACCGACCAGTCCAACGTATTGCCCATAGATGTCCCGATAAAGCAGCAGAACGAAATGACTTAAAGTTATATAATAATATATAAGCGAAAAAAATCAAAATGATGAAAATGATAACTAAAGAATATAGTCAAAAATAACCTCAAATGTTTCAAGTGGTTTATCTCTTAACATTTGTTGTCTTCGGCATTCACTAATTTTTATACAGTCTAAACTACCCGTAGAAAAAGATAAAGGTAAATTTTCAGTTTCAGATAATAATATATCTGTGGCCAGAATACCATCTTCTTCATCAGAATCTGCGCAAACAGTTTTCAAACCAGCTTCCTAAAATTAATTTTATTAATATTTAAAATTTATTTTGTTTGGGTTTTGTTTTAAAAAAATGGTAAATTTTTTAAAATGTAATGAAGGAAAATAATTCAAAAAATGAAATAAAACTAACTTGATTTTGAAAAGTAGTATGTTTGGGCAAATCTTCTTTACTTTCAGTACATGCATAATTTAAATGAATTTTTAGAGATTTTTTTGCAGTTTTTGACTTTGAACTATCAGAATCAGCTCTATTCTTTCGTGATCGTTTTCTTCTGTTCTCACTGGTATCACAAAATTTCGAATTTTGAACTGAATTGATCGAAGCCAACAAACCTTCTCCCTCGTAGTGAGAAGGTATTATCGTTGTATTAGTTTGATCACATTCCAAAGACTTTTCCAATTCAGATTGTTGCAAGCTTTCAGCCATTTTATATTGAATTTCTTTTCCAGATTGAATGCTTTCATCATTTAGACCACATTTTTTAATTTTTTGCTTGTGCATGCTTTTATATATTTTTTTTGATTTTTCGCAAGAACCCGTAGGAACAGAATTTTCTGACATTTCGTCGACCTAAAGATTTAATTATTTCGGTTACTTACTGCTATAAAATTTGGGAAAAAAAATGGTAAATGAATGGTAAAAAAGCTTTTTTAAAAAATATAATTCATAAAATTCAGAAAATTTGAAAAAACCCGATTTCTTACTATGTTCAGTCTTTGTATAAGCAAAAATTGAGCTCATATCTAGGCTAAAAAAGATTTTCAGTCACAAACTTAGAAATCATTTTGATCGAAGTGCCGTAAAAAAGAAAAATTATCACCATTAAAGATATTGAATATTAACGAACCATTTTCATCATCTTAAACAAACAAATTTAAATAAAAGTTTAAAAGTTAGCGAAGTATTCCTCCGATAATACCATTTTATGAATTCAAATTCATGACCTGAATCTCCATTTGTAATAATTCTTGATTATCAACTTCAATTTGTTTATCAGAATGAATTAGTGCCGAAGCTAGAGTTTTTTTCGGTCTCCCTCGTTTTTTTTGGCCTCCATCCACCTTGACAGATCTATCAGGTGACTCGACCAATACTACAACATCAGTTGGATTGACATCTTCATTCTGCAAAAAATAGGACTGAAAAGCACATATAAGCATATATTATCTTTCGTCAGTCGAGTTATATTGTAGGAAAAATAATATATGGCAACCTATTAACCTTCACATTTCTAAAATAAAGGCACATAAAAGACACAAATATCAACAGCATTTCTACTAACCAATGCCAATGTTTTTCCTTTTCCATCTGTTTTAGCTTTTTTACGTCTGGTTGATTTAGCACTTTTACTAACATCTTTTCTTCTCTTCACAGAAACACATTTTCGACTTGAATCCTAGTAGAATAAGTAGTAATCCATTAGTACAGGATTAAACCTGGGTTAAGGAATAATGAAATTAAATATATCAAAATTTCACCTTTTTGCTTTGATTCAGAACTTCATGGTAAAAATTTTGTTTTTTCTCACTTATTTTTGGAAATTCTTTCGAGAGATTGTCGCTTTTCATCATGTCTTGTAATTTTCTTCTTGTTACTCTTATAGAATCGGGTTGAAAAGTTGATAAAAGCTGTAAAAAGTGGTCATTATCATTATCATAAAAATTTCTATAGTGGCAAAAATTTCCTTTCTCTTCTCATATTAATCTCAAATTCCATTTCAATATATTTTCAACAAATTTCAGAAAAAATCACATCTATGTACAAAAACTGCTGCATATTCAATGAAAACTCATCGAAATAGATTATTATGAAAGACTTCTGGTTTTTTTGCCACCAGTAATAAATTTAGTCGATAACTTCCATCCATTCAATCTCGCTATTTTCTCTTTAAGAAGAAGGGAATAATAAGAGAGAAGTGGAAACAGAGTGGATAACTAGACTGTTGAGTGTAAAAAATATAATGATGGTAAGATAATAAAGTATATGGTTCGAAAAAGTTTAAAGAGAATGGAAATTAAGAATAGCGTTTAAAAGAGCATCAAACGAGTAGAAGAGATCAATTTTCAGGTCCTGATTCATCAGTTTTCTGCACTAAATTAATAAAAAAATTCCAGGGTCATGACTCCATTTAACCTTTATTATTAAAATAAACCTTTTCAGTTTCTGACGGTATATGGTCTGGAATATATAAATTACCAATTTCACGAATTTCCATATTACCATGAGGATTCCACTGCTCAGGTGTCATCAATTCAACAACATTATATTCCCAACGTGGTGTCTCCTTTGTTATTCTCTGCAAACATATACGTATATAAACGTTTGTTTTCTTCTCAAACTTATGTATTGATGAAATTATAAAAATTATTGAATTATTAGATTAAAAAAAAAAAAAAAACCAATGAATACATAAGATAAATTAAATTTAAATCAATTACTCCTTTATTTCTAATCGAAAGAATTAAAAATGTTCAAATAGCGAAAAAAAATGAAAAAGTTGTAAAAAAAATTTTGCTTACTTTAATTCGACGTTTTCTGCTGGACGAAGGTGAAGTTTCATTATTTTGTATTATTTCTGAACCATGCTCTGCTTTGTATTCACTAATCAAATTATGACATGATTCGGTGAGATTTTCAAATGGTTCCCATGTGTCTTCGGACTCAGAAAAACCTCGCCATCTTACTTTGTACAGCATATGTCCATCTTCTGATTTCATTCCAACAATTTTTTCCACCTAAATTATTAATTTTAGAAGATAAAATAATTTAATTTAGTATAAACAATTCTGACCGTTACAATTTTTACTTGATTAACAAACAATTTTATTGAATTATTAAAATTCATTTTAAATTACTAATTAAATACTAATAAGTCACTAATTAAATATTTTTAAGCAAAATATTGAATTTTCTTACAACTTTATTGTAGAATTTTTTTCAAATTTGTGAATCAATCAACAAAAAAAATTGGCAACAAATCTAACAACACTGGCAATATTTTATGAGAAATTTTCCATTTCTTCTCATTAACAAGCTTCTGTCCAATAAACTATTAAACTTCACCTCAAAAATTTCTTCACTTGATTCCGATTCGTCCGATTCGCCCTCTTCCCTTTTGCTGCTCATTATTTTCAGTTCTATAAGATTCAAAACCAAATATTCAATAAAATTTTAAATAATAATAATGCAATAATAATGAGAATGGTAATAATCGATGGTTGATCTCTCGTTGAATTTATTTTCCATAAACAATTATCAATTAATAATAAAGTTTCTGCGACTCGATTGTTTCTAAAACTTTCATTACTTCCGTGAAGAAATTTTATTTATTTACTTAAAAAACAAGAAGAAAAGCGCAATGTGTTTGTAAAAATAATAATAACACTGCAAAGATAAAATATTCACTTTTTACTGAAATTAAACGATAAAAGATTGAAAAAGAGTATGAAAGAAGCAGTGTGAAAGTGAGGTAAGTAAATTTACAAAAATCGTAAACCGCAAATGATCGCACCGAATTTTTCTGGCAACGGATGGAGTACATCGCCGCGCAACTTGTACGCAATCCATTTCAGAATCAAACGATAATTGAGAGTGAGCGGCCGACTCGACTGATTCGCATTTATTGCTCAGAAAGTAGTAAAAGCAAGAGAAAAGACGCGAAAAATGGGAAAATGAGCGGAAAAAAACGATTTCGAGTTCAGACTAAATGAATTGCAGCGACAAATGAGACGACAAAAACAATTTTCCAGCGTTGCCGACCGAAAATAACCGAAAAGTGCTCTTACATCTCTCCAATTAATAATAAATTTGCACATTCTTATTTGTTGTAAAACTTAAAACTGCGATTTTCATAAATCATAAAGCACAATTTATGGTTAATAAAACCAAACTTAAATACCTCAAAGAATCATCACCATTAATTTCAGTCGACTCATTCACGGAATATGTACGCACGCATTACTCTCGAGTTTCAAATTCTCAGGTCTTAAGACGAAATTGTGCGATTACGATATATCCAGCTTCCAGCTCATTGCAGCAAATATCGCCCGCCTTGTTGCTTCGTAGTTGATAGAGGAGAAGTTGGGTTGGATGGGTTGCCGCATTTGGTTTTTGTTAGTTGCTGAGGTTGAGGATTAGTGAAAAAAAATGTCATTATACTTTTCTTATTGAACAGTATTTCAAGTATTTCCGATTTTTCGATTATTTGTTTATATCTGAAAAATAAATTTTCCAAAATATCCAAAAAAATATTTTAAATTCGTGAAGGTATTGCTTGCTTTTATTATAATTTCATTTGTTTCCGATAAATTTAGGAAGTTTTTTTTGCAGGAAAAAATGCCTTTAAGGTTGGATGTGAAAAGAAAATTATTGGCTCGATCCGATCGTGTGAAATGTGTTGATTTGCATCCAACTGAAACATGGGTACTTGTTGCACTTTACAATGGTAACGTGCATATTTGGAATTTTGAGAATCAGCAGCTTGTTAAATCATTTGAGGTTTTTATTTCTATTTATTCTAATGGTGCTTTATTAGTTGTTGGTTTTGGACCACAGACATATATCTCCACGCACCATTTGCATATTTCTTTCTTTTTTCCTTCTATTTTGCCCTGCCGATGGTCTATTTTCTCTTCCAATGTTCTAAAAAATCTCGTTTAATCATTCTAGTGCTTCTTGATTTCTCGAAACTAAAGTTGAAGTTTGTTTTATTTTTGATTTCATCTTTAATTATTCTTCTTCATTGAGTCTTGTTATTTCTTCACGGGTAGATGCGCTGCGAGTTAATTATGATAACCCTCTGAGTCATCTTACCTAATTTTGATAATATAAATTTGAATTCAATTTCAATAAGTATAGATACAAGTTATAAATTTTTTTTTTTGATTTTTAGGTCTGTGATCTACCTGTTCGTTCGGCCAAATTTGTTGCTCGTAAAAATTGGATAATCACTGGTTCAGATGATATGCATGTTCGTATCTTTAATTACAATACATTAGAACGTGTTCATCAATTTGAAGCACATTCTGATTATTTGCGTTCAATTATTGTACATCCAACTCAGTCATTTATTCTTACTTCTAGCGATGATATGCTCGTCAAACTGTGGGATTGGGAAAATAAATGGAGCGTGAAACAAACTTTCGAAGGTAGCTCTTTTCTTTCTTATGTATATTTTTTTCAGTTTATTTTTTCCTTTTATTATGCATTTTCTTTTTTTGTCCATTTATTTTTTTTCGTTTAAATCTTTTAAGATTTACTATACAAAAAGTCTCGTAATTCGCTATTATGAATCTGTGAATATTCGCTTCTACATTCATCGCATTCCCTATTATATCACCTAACTCTTCTTTAATTGGTGCAGTATCAAATAAAGCATTTATTTTTTTTTGCCTTCTTTTTGATTTTCTAGGTCATCTTTTTGTTCCTGTGCTTCAGGTCATACTCATTACGTTATGCAACTCGTAATCAATCCAAAAGACAACAATACTTTCGCGACTGCATCGTTGGATCGTACTATTAAAGTTTGGCAATTTGGAAGTACAGTGGCGAATTTCACTTTAGAAGGTCATGAGAAAGGAGTTAACTGTGTAGATTATTATCATGGTGGTGATAAGCCATATCTGATTTCGGGCGCTGATGATCGACTTGTAAAGATTTGGGATTATCAAAACAAAACTTGTGTTGCTACACTCGATGGGCACGCCCAGAATGTTTCAACAGTATGTTTCCATCCTGAGTTGCCCATCATAATCACTGGATCTGAAGATTCAACTGTTCGATTGTGGCATTCGAGTACTTATAGGTTTGTTTGGATTGTTTTTATTTAAAAGGTATGGTATTTTGGTATGATAGATAAGTTACGATCGTTACGATCGTCAGAGTTACGATCGTTGAGTGATTTGTTAATTTTGACAAGTTAGAGTAGTTAAGCACTATAAATCTTTTTATTCCTAATTGGAAGTAATTCTATCGTTAAAAACAGGTGCTGCTGAGGATTCAACTGCACTTCTGTCCCCAAGTGATTCTTTGGCAGAGTAATCTCGCCATATTAGTGGTGGAATCAGCCCAACCAAGAATGGTGATCTTTAAAGCAGTGAAGATAGGCTTGTGTAGAACTTTTTCCATGTGAGCTTTCTGTTAAATGATTTTTTCTATTGTAAGTATGAAATTTTCAGTAAAAATATTTTTAAGACTGGAGACGACTCTTAATTATGGGCTTGAGCGAGTCTGGTGTATTGATGCATTGCGCGGTTCAAATACAGTCGCTATTGGTTATGATGAAGGATCAGTAATTATAAAACTTGGCCGCGAAGAACCCGCAGTAAGTATGGACTCCAGTGGAAAAATCCTTTGGGCCAAACATTCGGAGATGCAACAAGTCAATTTAAAAACTATCGATCCCACTATTATTGATCAACTGCAAGGTATAAATTTTATAAAGGTCGTTTAGTCATTTTCGATTTCATTTTATGCGTTACGTAAAAAGTTTGTTATATAAATAAATCGAAAATAATTTCAAATGGTCCTTCGCGTTCACGTCATAATCCTTTAATTTATTTCAACTTTTCTTTTTAATTTATTTACATTTTTTGAGTAAATTGAGAAAGACAAAATTTCTCGGCATTTGATTCACAGAAGTTTTTATCCAGTATTGATTATAATGATTTGTAATGATCTTTCATCAGAATTTTTTTAGATGGTGAAGTTATAACAGTCTCTGTAAAAGATATGGGTTCTTGTGAAATTTATCCTCAAACACTGATGCATAATTCCAATGGCCGATTTGTCGTCGCATGTGGTGATGGAGAATATATTGTTTACACAGCTATGGCACTTCGCAACAAGGTAAAGAGATTCATTAAGAATTCGTTATATTATAATTTTTCATCCTTCAGAGCACTTTAATTCCACTTGTGAAATATTACATTTAATTCACAGTATCGCATCCACCTTCGTTCAAATACCATTTGCATTAATAATGTTGTCACAGAACGTGGCCTTCGCTGGTTTGGATACCTTCTCCGTCGTTCACCATAGGAGATGACGCATATTACGCTACTAGCTAAACCATGTGATGGGTGGAGTCAAAAGGGAGATGGGCCAGTCAATATCTGGACTGATACAGTCAGGAAAGGTTTTGAACGTGTAAGGACCAGCAATATATGGACTTAGACGATAGAAAAAGGAATGAATTCTATTCGACGATGGCATCAGACCACCCCGTTTGGAAATGCCTTATCCTTAGAAGAAGAAGATATATTTAATTGCTTCTGTGTTTTTAAGGAATTATTTAAGTCCTTTTTTGTTCAAAATTGGTTATATTTAAGATTATTTCTCAGTTTCATTTAAATCATTTTCCAAATTATTGTAAGGATAATTGCGATCGTAAGATAATTATCGCATTTAATCATTTATTTTTAAAAAAACAATTAGGGTTTAGCAAATTATCAAATTCAAGCAAATTTCTTCCTTCAATGATTTTTCATTTAATTTTTTTCAGGCTTTTGGTTCTGGCTTAGAGTTCGTTTGGAGCACTGACCCATCAGAATATGCTGTCCGTGAATCCTCTACAACAATAAAGCTCTTTAAAAACTTTAAGGTATTTAAGAAAATTTTACGATTTTATGAATTGTAGAAATAAAAAATGAAGAAATTCCCTGTTATTTATTTCTATATAAAATAAATTGTGCAGGAAACTAGAACATTGCGGCCAGATGTCTCAGTTGAAGGAATTGATGGTGGGCCATTAGTTGCAGTCCGGTCTTTAAACTCCTTATGTTTTTATGATTGGGAAACAGCTTCTCTTATTAGACGTATAGAGATTGCAGCAAAACGTGTATATTGGTCTGATAATGCGGAAATGGTATTTTTTACTCCATTTACTTTAAAAAATTTTGAAATAATAAAAAAATGAATTATTGAATGAAAAATTTTGTATGTAATAAAAAAATGAATGATTGAATGAAAAATTTTGTATGTAATGAATGATTCGCTTGAATTATTAGGTTGCTATTGCTGGCGAAGGCTCATTCTTCATATTAAAGTATAATAAGGATGCAGTTGAAAATGCCTTACATAATGAATCCACATTGGATGGCATTGAAGATGCATTTGATGTTATCGGTTTGTTTTTTTCTCATTCTTTTCCGCAGTAACTTTTTTTTTTGATTTAAAATTTTGTGAGTTTTTTTTCAGGTGAACAACAAGAAAGTATTAAAACCGCATTATGGATAGGTGATTGCTTCATTTTCACAACTAATCTTAATCGCTTAAACTATTATGTTGGTGGAGAAATCGTTACCATCGCTCACCTTGATCGTCCACTCTATTTGGTATGGTTTTATTATGAGAGAAATAATTGGCCTTTTAAATTTATAGCAATTCAGTTGAACTGGAAAACCATTTTGGATTTTTTTCTGAATTTTTTTGTTTGGAATTTTTAGCATTTATAATTTTTAAATTCTCCATTTTGAAGTCGTTGATCTCATATGTATTATAATTTTTATATTACCTTTAAGTTGGGTTATACGCCTAAAGAAAGTCGTTTGTATCTTTGCGACAAAGATCACTCTATCGTTTCATACCGTCTTATTCTTTCTGTTCTTGAATATCAAACTGCTGTTATGCGTCGTGATTTCGACACAGCTGATAAAGTAATTTTCATGAAATTTCAATATTTCTTTTTTAATATATTATGAATTCAATTGAATTTTTAGGTACTTCCAGTGATTCCACGTGATCAGCGTACTCGGGTTGCCCATTTTTTGGAAAAACAAGGCTTTAAAAAGCAAGCTTTAGCCGTTAGTCAAGATCCGGATCATCGCTTTGAACTTGCACTTTCACTTGGAGAACTGAAACTTGCTTATGATATTGCTGTTGCATCTGATTCTGAGGAAAAATGGAAGCAACTTTCTCACGCAGCGACATTAAGAAGTGAATTAATGTTGGCAGGGGAATGTCTTGGGAGAGCTCGAGATTTTGGTGGTTTATTGCTTTTGGCCACTTCTGCTGGATCATACACTCTTGTATGCATCATTTATAGTTTTCCAAATCACCAATCACTATCACTTATTCTTTATTTACAGTTGATGGAATTTCAGTTATCGAAGCTTGCTGCTGATGCATTGGCTTCATCTCAAAATAATGTCGCATTTCTCGCATATTTAACGTTGGGCAATATTGAAAAATGTCTCGACATTCTTATTTTATCTGACCGTTTGCCTGAAGCCGCTTTTTTCGCTTACACTTATTGTCCATCGCAGGTTTTTTTCGATGTAGTATTAATATAAGAAACGAAAAAAAGAAAAAAATCTTTAATCTTTTTGCCTTATTTCTACTACTTTTTCTCTATTAATCTTTGTTTGGCCTAAGAAAACTATTTATTTTTTTTTACCTTTCACATATTTATTCTTTCGGCTTTTTAAAGAATGGTTTCAGGTTGATCGTGTAGTTTCCTTATGGAAAGAGAAAGGAAATCAGGGCATTAATGGACAAAAGGTTTTTGTTTTTTATTATAAATTTTCAGTTTTCAGTTCAATTCAGTTTTTTCAATTATAAATTTTTGCTTTTTTCAGTCTTTCGAATATTTAAAAAGCAATCAAATTTTCGATTTTTTCATCTTGCCTAATGCCATTTACAATGCCATTTACAGAATATTGGTGAAGGTTTAGCCAATCCATCTCGTTATTCAAATCTTTTTTCTGGTTTTAACGAATTACTGAAAGCAGAACAGTTCTTAAAACAGCTGTCGAAATTACCAATACCTGCAAAGACCCGTGCACCAACCAATGCGGAGCGCAACTTTCTTGAAGAAATGGCAAAGGCTGAAGAATCAGGTTTCCATCTTAATCTATTTTTTAAATCTTAATCGTCGTCATAATTTAATGCAGTTATTTCAGTGTCATTCAAACTGACCAGCCTCACTGTAGTGTTTGGCCTAAGAAATTTGTGGCTAAATGCATTTTTTTTTTCTTTTAATTTACAATTAGGTTGGTTGTAAAGACTATACCTGTTGATAACAAGCAAACTTAACGATTGAAGTGAGAAATATTTTTATTTTTATTAAAAAATAGCATTTTATATATTTCTATTTTTACAGAAATTCCAGATTCTGTTGTATTTGTCGTAAATATTTAATTTTATTTAAATTTTTTATAAATTACCCGAAATCAAGCGTAATTCCTGAAAAATACAATACAGGCTTCCAAACTCAGCGTTGTTTTCAGAAGGAGGATTTCAGGGTAATGCATTGAAAAAAGATTGTATTGAAAGTAGCATCAGAAAATTATTATATGTCGGTGCGATACAGAACCGCAGGATTCGTTAAAAATTGAAGAGTCATAAAAATATTTCATATGGGCAAATATTTCAAATTTCATAAAACTTTAGTAAGAAAAGAGAAGAATTAAGTGCAATGAAGATATTTACATCAAATTTATCAAGCTGTAATTTCCTCACTCTCCGGATACCAGTGTAAATGAATTATATTAGGTATATATAATTCTTTAATATGATAAATAATGTAATTAATGATTATTAATATGGAAAAATCAGAACATGAATGGGCAAAATAAATATGAAAATGGGGCGATACAAGACCACAAGAATTTTTGTTTTAATAAGAGATAAAGAAGTAAAATATTCCGAGTTTCTTTTTTCTCTATAAAAAATGATATAAAAAATACAATTTGTGATAGGCTTAAATATAGTGGGCATATATATATATTTTTATATATTTATTTTTCTAATTTTTATGGCCTGTTATCCATTATTCCTACCACTGCTGTCATTTGTTTTGATACACTTTTTAAAGTGTAAAATATTATTTCTGCATATTAATTCTATTATATTAACAGGTGCGCTAATATTCTCTGAGGATGGCACTGCTATACTGAAAAGCATATCTTTGAATATGGAAAAAACAAACATTTCTGTTTCTTCACATAAACAAAAAGATGAATTACTCTTGCGTCAGAAACAAGACTGTTTTCCAGAGAAACACAAAACATCGCCAGAGCCAAAACAAGTTACGTCTACCATTGATCAACTTTCAGATGAGGATATATCTGAAATGGACGAATATATTCCAAAGGTTTCTTGAAATATTTTGAAATGTTTGAATTATTTTTAAGATCAATATTTCTATACTTTACTACTGCATAAGGTTTTTTTGGAAAAATGAAATTTTAGAGTGGATCTTTGTCGCTAGGACCAGATGTTGTGCAAGAAAGATCGCGTCCAGATATTGTTCCTTCGTCCGGTCCTGATCTTGTTGACCATACAAATGATCAACCACAAGTAAGATTGATTTTTTAAATTTGCAAATGTTTTATTATTTTTTCGGTGATATGGATAATTATGAATCACTGAACATTCAGAATTATCCAATTTATTCAAAAAGTTTTTTATTCAGTTTTTAAATTGGAATTTGTTCATTAAAGTTTCTTTTGGATAATTATTTGATTGATTTATTTCGAGGTAGTGCAGGATGCTGAATCCAGTTTTCGTTGGAGTGACGACGATTTAGAGGCAGACGATGTCGATGTTGCGGATTTAAACATTGATGATTTAAATCTTGTTGATGATGACTGATAATGGAATTTCTTCGAATTCTTTTCATATTTGGATAAATAGAATAATTTTTTTTATTTCATTTAGAGTAATTTGTTGAACTAACGATATAGAAGAAATTGCGCTGGAATTTTAACCCCTTCTTCTAAGTCATTTAAACTCAAAGGTACAATATGGGTGATAATTTATAAGTTGCTGCCTCATAAATTCTTATACAAAATTTTGACTTGGAATTTTTTCCTTATCATTATTATTTATTATTTGTTGTTATATTTTTGAAAAAAATCCTTTTTTTTCAAATTTTTCAAGAAATCTTTTTCTCTCTTAATTAATTATATATTTAATTAATAAACGTAATAAACGTAATGTTATTGGCTATTAAGCGAGAATTCTTCCAAGATGAGCATTTCTTGAGGAAATATGACATCATTAAAATTTTTCATTTGTTTCACATGACTTTTTTTACCCGAAATTTTTATATTTTTTAAAATGTATTTTTGCTATTATTCAATTTAAAAGTTATGGGAAGTAGGACTTGGCTAATTTATCAGAAATATTTCTGAGGCAAAGTGATAAGAGAATGCTGAATATGACGTAGGTTTAACTCGTGGATGATTAATTATTGCAGTCAATAAAAAGTCAATTAAAAGAATTTCTTGTTCATCAGGACTGATTCACTATAGATTTAAATTCACATAGGTGTGGAAAGTGTTGGTTGTTTTTTCGAAATCTTATGGCCGATGTGGGTCGGTTTGTAAAGTTGTTTTGGCTATTGACTATTCCATATTTGTAAACAAAGCAAACAATCGGTTCTGCAATAATAATTGCTTAATAATTTTAGGAATGGAATCGGTGTTTAATAAATTTTTCTTTCAAATGCGTTGTCATTTGTGGAGTCAAAATCTCTGTGTTTCCATAGGTCTCCGTATAGATAAGTTATTACTTTACAAGCCTTTGTTGGTATTGATAAAGGGAAGAGACAAATTTCCTCAGGTGTCAATACGAGCTCTTGTACGTGTTGCCTGAAAATGAAGTTATTTAGGATCTCGTCTCGCTTATTTAAAAAAATTTAAGAAATAATTTTGGGTATGGAAGTTCTGAAACTGCTTCTATAAAATCCAGAAATGCTAAGTCAATTTCCTAGTAAACAGAAATTTTTCAAACTTTCTCGATAAAACTGCCAATAGTCAAGTATAAAAATTTTGATTTTATTGATGCAACTCTTCTGGTTCAAATTTCCGAATATTTTTATGAAATAGCAACCAAATAGTTTTGAAATTTATCCTTATATGTAAATATCATAATAATGTTAACTTCGTGTTACTATTGCTTGGTACTGCCTCATCGAAGTGATTGTCCAAATATATTAATCTTGTTTCGTAAAATGCGGCTCTTTTAAGTACCATCTAAATTGGTTTTGTTAACGTAATTCTTGTAATGTATAATGATTAACCTTCAGATCTTGGCTTATTAAATCACTGACATTTGCAAATTTGCAGTTTATTTTTGCAATATTTTAAGTCAAAGGTTGTCTAAAATTTTTGTTCTTTTTGAAAGAAAACTTACGGATCTTTTTTCTGAACCTTTTTAAATGCATAAAACAAAACGGATAGGAATACAGTGGAAAAATAATATTAGGTTTCTATGTGATATGTGATAAAGTAGTTAGAATGGTTGAAATTTTTAGAGTTTGTTACATATATTCATAAATTAGGGACCTAAATTTTAATAAATACTTTTTCCATCTAAACTTATAGATTCTTTGGTGGTTCATGAACTACGAATAATAACTCTTATTATACATCAATTGATAGAAAATTAGTTTATGAAGAACAAGCTAAATCAATGATGTGACAAGACGGCTTAAAATTTTCTCTTCTTTAAATAATTATAATAATGAACTTCTTCTAACATTCATTTAACATTTCTGATTTGGTTTGCTTCACTAGTAAATTGAAAGCATTTCACCTAAAAAAGAATTAGGAGTTGGTCCGCGACATTGCCCATTAATAATCAAATTCAATTTTAAGTTTCACCAAGTATTTTTACATTTTTCACATAGCTGTGAAAATGCTATAACTGTGAGAATTTTATAAAAAATACCTTATTGGATACATCTCCAATATCACCAAGAAACACCAAAAAATTACTGCGTTCGGTTACCAACATATTGATATGTTTTCGCAATAGGTTCAGCTTGAACGCCTACAAATGAAAATAACTTCAGTTTTCATTAGTTGGATTGCTGGAGATTTAGATGGGTTCACTGATTTAAAAGATTTCTTTAAAATCTATGAAAGATTTTAAATTTTTTCCATTTTTACTTCTTTTTTTAGATAAAAGACAAATTGATTCAAAAAATATTTGAAAAATGTAATTTTTTTCAAAAAAATCTTTTCCACCAGCCAAATGTCGAACGAATAAAATTCACCATCGATTTTCGAGGAAAAATCGTATATCCTAAAAAACTTACTAATGAATTTGTGTCATTGTTAACCACATCATTAAGATAAATTCGTTCGAACTTATAAGGAGTGAGATCAATATCGACAAGTTGCAGTTCATCTAAATAAGGAAAAATTTACAAACATTAACATTTGGCTCGAAAATCTTCGAAGATGTTTTTTCATTTTTCTAACCACATTGCAGTAATTTAAGGCAGTCATTTTTATAATTAAGAGCATTTTATAATTAAAAATATATTCACATTATATTCTGGGCATAATAAACCTTTAAAACTTTAGATTACAAATGGCTTTAATTATAAATAAACTTTAAAAGCTTCAACCATTAAGTATTAATAAAAAAAAATATTTTTGCTAAAATTAAATTAGAATTTTAAGGCTTTACCGGTCAAAACTCAATTTTAGAAGTCAAAATATTTTCAAAAATATTGCAAATTTCTTTTTTTAATATTATTTTTAATTTTTTAATTTTTTTGAATAATTTCTTTTGCAAATTTTAAAAAGAAGAATGTCTACCGTAAGCGAACAAAATAGTTTTTGTGTCGTTTTTGCATTTAGAAAATCCAATAGAAACAAAAATTTTTTTCAAATTTTCAATGATTTCTCGAGTTGTAGTCAACGAACAAATATTTAAACGAACAATTCGATTCGATTTCTCAAAATATTCAATAAAAGGGAGCGAACATTTACAATATTTCTCGATTCGAATCTAAAAATTCCATTTTCGAACTTTAACCATGGATTTAAAAAGAAATTGTTGGAAAGAAAACTGCTTTGGGCAGTTCTCGACAATTCATTTCGCTAAAATAATCTTTAACAAATAAAACTGTACAAATTTAGATTCATCCATTATTCGATTGAATTGTTATTAAATGCAAATTTATTCAATAATACTTTTATCGAACATTGTTAAACGCTAATTTTTCGATAACATTTTAAGTTTTTCAAACTTTATATATATATATATATATATTCCTACGTGACATATTTTAATTTAATTTTTGGGATATAGGAATCGGTTGACCAATGAGTTTTTGCTCAATTTGGAATGTCGGTACTGAGGAATAAACCTGTCCAGAAATCTGGGTGATGCTGGCAACTCACCTGTAATTTATCGCCAAGGGACTCCCTAGCATATTGTCCAATGCGACAAGCCTAAAGCAGAACGAGTCTGACCAGTGATGGTTCTTTAAAAAAAATTCGCGATATTTAAAAATTTCGATTTTTTTCAATTTTATTAATTAATTTAACTAATTAATAACTAATTAATTAATTTAACTAAATTGAAATAAAAATGCATTTTTACATTATTGAATTGCTTTCCTTTTTCTCTTTTTTAAAAAGAAGAATGCCTACCGTAAGCGAGTAGTTTTTATGTCGTTTTTGCACTTAGAAAATCCAATAGAAGCAAAAATTTTTTTAAATTTTTGATAATTTATAATAATTTTTAATTTTTTATAATTTATAATAATTTTAGCAATAACAATAGTGGTAGTATAACATTTTATTACTCGTCTGTGATCTATACGATTATTACGAAATCAGCTCGTTTTTTCTTTTGACGGGAGTAAATCTATCAATAAATTCGGATTGCTGGAAATCCACTTTTACTTATATCTTCAAATGATTTTATGGTGAAGCGGTCTGATATGCGGCGCACACGTCCTCAGCCTAACCACTTGTAACAGTAGTCATAGAGCGTTCGCTGGTTGGGACTCAACACAGAAGTTGACGTATATTTCGTTATTTGCTAAATCCTATGATGGAGGACGTCAAAAGAGAGGTGGACCTATCAAGACCTGGATTAATCAGAAAAGATTTTGAACGTAATATAAGTGGACCAGCAATATATGGACTTAGAAGACGGAAAAAGAAATGTCTTCTATTATTATCGACGATGGCATCAGATCGCAGCTTAGAAACGTCTTGCCCTTTTAGCCAGTAGAGTGAGCCTAACTAATAATGGTGACAGTTGGAAGAAGATGAATTATTTCCACCATATATTTATGCGTAGCAAAGATAACAGTGGCAAAGAGAGGTTTTATATAATATTATTATTAGCTGTTTTATTATTATATTATATATTATTATATTATATTATTGGCTCTTTTCAAATGTTAACAACAAAAGGTGATCTGGCTATAATTGAGGAAGACTGAAATGTGCGCCTATAGGTTATAATGCTGGTACAATGGACCTCATGGTTGGCAACTATGGCATCATGGTTGCATAAATGGATAGCGCCTTCTTTGCTTTGCCGAGAAGCATGAATCTCTTGAAACATTTATCAATGCATCGAAAAAGTATCTAACTTACACAGAGCTCTTTTCACTAATTAACAAATCAATCATATTGATTTTAGCCTACCATCGTTCCGTACTAAATAACCTCTCAAATTTATGCTGTTTCCTTGATCCAATTTTGTTCATAGGCTATAGGATATTAGATCCAATTACATGAAAAGAATGTAACAACAGCGATCAAAAACCATCATTGAAATATGGTCCTGAATATGGAGACAGCTGCTTAAATGGGCGATTATAAGAAACTATTCCATAAAACAAAGCAAACGGTGAAATGATCTGAGAATGCAGTTGTCCATATTAAAGCTTCAAAGATTACTAGATTCGCTGGAGAGAATTCTTTGAGATTAGACTCGACTTATATACTCCGTCTGTTATTTCGAGCACAACTGAAACTCCCGTCGAGTCGAATGCTCGCATCTGATGAATCTTCTATAGAAATCAAATGGAAGTTATTCTTCTGACTGCGGTATATACCATATACCATATTATAATATAATTGGGAAATATGGCCAATAAAAATGGAGAGCTATCCTACCTTTGACCAGTGCGAATAAAATTGCATACACCCCTTCGCTCAAGTATCTGCATTCAAAATATTGTCAAATAGCATCGACCACACTGGCTAGGCTATGTTTTTAGCCTACCAGAAGAATTGAGACACATCTCACTGAGCCCTTATTATGGTTTGCGCCAAAAGTGAGAAGAATCAATCAAGACTTGGAATGATATAATCAGAAGAAATTTTCAACTTATAGGTGACCTAACGATATATGTGTTGACTGAAAAAGGATTGGCTTCTCTTAATCTCAAGCGTGGATCGAATTGAGTGGCTTGGGAGCGCCTTGTAACTAGTACCACCCTAGAGCCATTCTAACAAGCAATGGTGCCAAGTTATTAGATAAAGAAGATTTTTTTATATTTTTTTTCAGCATCAACGATTTTTCAATAATAATAATTAAACTTTTATTATTATCATTTTCGTCCAATATTGCATGCATATCGCGAAATATTATGAAAACTAAAAAATAAAGAATGTAAAGTTAAAGGGGAAAAAAAGAAATTTGATATAAAATGATTACCTTGAAATATTTTTCATTATATTCATCGTTTTTTGGCTGTTTAAGATTTGAACTCGCAATTTCTCCAGCATTATTATTCTTGATAAATTCATCGGTAAACATAATTTCATCCACAACATTTATATGCATCGCACATATTATAGGAAACTAGAAAAGCTATATATAATCTTTTTCATCATCTGTTATTATATGGGTTAATTTTTTACAGAAATATTTTTTTTTCCTCCTCAATTATGAGAATAATTTCGCTGATTATTACTTCTATTTGTTTTATTTTATTTAGTAAAAAATAAATTTATTACTTCTCTTTCGAATTTCTCAAGTATTGGCGTTTGATCTTTCTTGCAAAACGAATCGGATTTCAAAATACTCAGCAAATTTGGAATGATATCGATAATGAATTTATTATTTATATTTGCAAGAATTTCTTTAGCCATTTCGGATAAAACCCATTCAAGTGTTATTAAAGTAGGATCATCCTTAAAAAATTATTCAATAATTTATTTCAATATTTAACTGATCATAACAAATTAACCTATAATAGTGAGTAAGGATGAGATGAGTGATATAAAACATAAGGTAGAGATCTATGGAAGAAATTGGCAATGTTGTAAAATTCTCAATCATATTTTTCTGTCTCTTCCAAATTTTGCGGCTGTAAGTTGATTTATTGCAAAACTCTCTAATTTGTTAATCTGATCTAATCAGTCGCCTTTTATATTTATCTACTTATATTTCATCTTCCTCATCAGAAAAGTTTAACTTTCAAAAATTTTTTACTGAAAAATACCTCGATTAATTTTTGAATATTAAGGCATTGATGTTCTGCGATCGATAGTTTATTTGCAAGATGATCGAAAATAATATTTTCGATATTTAATGACGTAAAATTGAATTGAGTGGCAAGTTCGCCGATGATGATACCTTTGCGACTGCCAGGTCCTCCTGCAAATTTCCCTGTAATGATTGCTAACATTGTTACCATTAAAATCATCTGGAGAATTGGAGAATCAAATAGTTTCTATCGAAACATTTGATTTAAATTAGTTGCTATAATATAATATAATATAACAGAACTATAATATTTTGTAATATTGCGAACCAATTTAAAGAAAAAAAAATTTTCTTGAATCTTCGACTTCATTATCCTTGAAAATAAATAAAAGCATTTGCTTAGGAAGGCATGTTAGCATTTCTATTATTAGAAAGTAATGTTGCCAAAGAATCAGGATTGAACAGGAACAATAACATGAGTAAAGAGCAAATAGCTAGGATTTCAGATATCTATAATTCTTAAAGAAGTTTTAGCCATCATTTTATTATTATAGTTATTGTTGCTAAAGAGAGTCTTAAAGCCTTTTCTATTCTGAAAAAGGTTATTGTTATGGATTTTTCAATCCGTTACTATATCCAAATTTTCATCAATGAGAGAAAACTATTTAATAACTTATTATAACTTATAAAAATCAACGTATTATTAAATTAGCATTTTCTATCATTTTCCACTGCTAAAAAGGCAATAAAATTTATGGAAGAAATTAATGAATTTATGATTTTTTGAGAATTTTGTCATGAAAAATAGTAAAAAAAAATGGATTCATTCCATACTGAAACGATGTACTTCAAAGATGGAAATGTACTTCATATTGTACTTCGAAGAATGTACTTCATATTGTACTTCAACAATCGCAACAAAAATTAAAAATTAATGGGTACCGAAAACGAAGATAATGAATCGTTCATTGTCGCTGGCTTGATTAATTCCTGAATCAACGAAGATGCACATCGACGAACGAGTAGTTTTATTATCGTTCGTATTGCAAGCATTTGAAAGCCTTGTTAATTTATGTAAACTCGGCTTTATTCCCATCTTTTAAATTCTCCGATAATTAAAAAAAAGATAAAATAGATAAGAAATTTGTTAAACTTCGAAACCTATTAGTTAATTTATCACTATCACCTAATTTTAAAAACGAAAACAAATTTAAAAAACAAAATTAGGTGATAGTGATAAATTAACTAATAGGTTTCGAAATTTAATTTATACGAAGATTCAGCAATAAAATTTGTTTTTCATCATTTTTATTTTCGATCACGAATCTGCTTTTTTAATGAATTAGCCAGAAAAAATGTTATATAGCAAAGTGAGAACTAAATTCATAAAGGATTAAAATTTAAAGCAAAATAGCGCGAAATATACAGTTCAAAGGTTTTTGCATGGTAGACGATAGTTGGTCCATTAGAATTTAATATTTTCCATTTACTATTTTTTTTAGTTCATTGAAAGAAAAAGCTTACATAAATTCGAGAATAAAAATATTTATAGAGTTTATAAGGCTTCATTAAGGAAATCGTTACGTGAGGGAATCGCTCCCATAAATCGATTTTGCATAGAATCAAAGCAATTACTTAATGCGCAGCATTTTAGTTTTATCAGTTTAGCAATAAGAGAATGCGTCATCATAAGTGGATTATTTCGAAAATATCTCTGCAATTTTTTATCAAAAATTATTAATTAGCGAAATATATTCGATATCACTTATGCTTATCTGGTGCAAACAAAAAAATCTGAAAATTGAAAACACATAAATGGATAAGATATATGGATAATGAATGCATAATGGAGAACTGTGTGGTCGTTTATAGAATATCGTTTTTTTCCAAGTCATTCCAAGTCCATTTCTTCTCAGATTCATTCAGCTGGTTTGTCAGATTAGGCAAATTTTATTGAAAAGCCACTTGACGACATGAATACGGTGGGTCGCTAGCTGATTCTTGAAAGACAAGCTTACTCTTGAGAGACTAAAACATATAAAATAAAAAATATAATAAATAATTTTTTTGTTATTATAAAAAATATAATATAAAAAATTTAACTCAAACGTCAATGTTTCATAAATGAAAACCATTCTACTCCCAATATTATTTATAGCTCAATCACAATAATACAGTCCCAGCTTCTTGAAATAAATGGATAAAAACCACCGGATGACCCTGGCACCTAAGCTTATAGGGCCTCTTTGGTGGAAAAATGATTGCTTCAGAAAAAGTAAATGAAGTATATAATAAAAGAAAGAAAACATCAAAAATTAAATAAATATGAGGAGCAGAAATAAAAAAAACTCAGTTAGGAATATAAGGAAAGGAAAAAAAGATTCTTAAAATTTCTTATCATTCTTATCATAATTGCAAACCATCAATTAATAATAACAAAAATTGTTTAATAGACGACTGATAAAATACAGTACAAATTAAGTAATGCAAATGTAATGCTTGAATGCTTTAAATAATACGAATATTTCATGCTTACCAGACGAATCTTTTTAATTCGACAAAAAAATTCTCATTAGGTTCCATTCTCTGGAAAAAAAATTCTTCGCTGAATTTTTAATTAAGCCAAACGAAGGAAATATAGTTTATTATTTCTTTCGAATATTGATATTGTAATAAAGCTAAAAATTTTAGGTTAAAAAGTTAAAGAGTTAAAATGAATCTTAAAATGAATCTACTTATGATAAATGAAGATCGATGAAATATATGAAAAATTTATTGGAGATAAGTGAAAAAAGCGAAAAGCTATAGCATAAATATGAATTTTGAAGTAAACTCCAAATTTTTAATTTTTACTAAACTTAAACTTATTGCATCTTCTACAAAATCTACATGGATTTTCACTGGGTTAATTAATTCGGTTGATTCGGTTGATTAATTTGGTTGATTTCGGTTGATTCGGCTGATATGGCTGATGAATAAGTTTCAAGATGAGAAATTCCGCGATATTCTAAGAAAAAAGATCTATTTGGCTCAGTTACTGAAAACGGAAAAAAAACTATATTTTCAATACTTAATTACCGTTAAGTACTTTTGAACACTAAAAACTGCTAAAGCTGGCTAGAATGTTACACCGCATAGAATCTATCGCTAGATTTCTCCAGATTATCAATACTCATTAAAGTCTTTGAAAATTTTCTTTTGGGAAAGGATTTAATTTTTTTCTCACAGCTGAAAAAAGTTCTATCTGAGATTGCAAGCTAAAAGAGATTTTACCTAAATATAAAAAAGACACCCTTCTAATTCGCCCAATTTTCATTATAAATTAGAGTGGAAATTTTAAATAAACTAATTAAAATTAAAGTGGACTGTCTCAATTTTTTATTTTTTTACTCATTTAAACGTAAGTTTCAAGAAATTTCTTTAAGGAATTGGAGATAAGTGAAAAAAGCGAAAAGCTATAGCATAAATATGAATTTTGAAGTAAACTCCAAATTTTTAATTTTTATTAAGCTTAAACTTATTGCGTCTTTAATTCATTAATGAACAGTGATCAATGCCCACATCTTTATTATGGCTACTGAACCATTTCTTTACTGATGAAATTATTTGTGACGAAGCTTATTTATTATGAAGAATGCAAGTGAGGAATTATAAACATATAAATTTTAGCAACCAACCAACTGTTCAATGCAAATATTATTCAGCATTTCTATAAGTAAATTTTATTATCAAAAGACAATTCTTCAAAGCATTATTTAGCATTACTAATTAAAATTAGAGTAATTCTCTATATTGTTTATTTTTCTATCAACATATTCACTTAATCTAAGATTTATAGAGCAAAGTTAATCCATTGTTATTAAATAATCGCATAAATTTCTATTAGTTTTGGAGAAAATGATTTATTAAATATCATCATTGAAGTTATCAAGGATTGAAAATAGAAAAATATTTTTACCAGAAATTTTTTAAAATTTCATTTTTTGATTTTGCTGTACCTATTATAGTGTTAATGCGACTGAAATGTGCTGAATGAAAGTTTGAAATTTTAAACTTATAAAAACTATCGATAGTCCAATTAGTTTTCTTGAGTCGTGATAAAATAATGCTGATATTTTTTAAAATTTTCTTCCTTCTTCATTTTTTTGTATCTTACATTTGCTTTATTTTTTGAATTTTATTGGTCAAACAGTAATAAAATAAAATAAAATTACAATGCGAAGCAATAATAACAGGCAACATCCAGCAACGATCAGTAGAATAATTTTTTATATAATTGATGTTGAAAGTAGAAACGAATCGATTACTGTTTAGTGGTGTCGAGGATTTCTGGATGCTGGATTTAATCAAGATTTCTGAACTCATTGGATACAGTGCATGTTTCATATTGACATTAGTTAACATTTTAAAATTTTTTAGCTTTATATGTGCGATGGATTTGAACGTTTTTATCCAAATATTTGTTCATTTAAAATTGAGGAAAATGAATCAATTACAAAAAGTTATGATCGTTTCATATTTATTTTTCTGCCAAGAATGAAAAATTTTTTTTCACTCAAAATGATAAATTTGCCTAAATGCTAAACGATTTATATGGGGAAAATGGTGAGTAAGGCAATCAATGATGGAACGAACGACAGTTTTTCGGTGATAAAGATCTGCGACCTCTTACGACAAAAAAGATTGCACATATTGATAGGCGATCGAAAACGAGTTTTTCTATCTCCATTACTCTCTCAAACAGGTCGCGGTATACCTGCCGACGATAAACGCTTCTTCAAATTAATCTTTCAAAGCAAAATGAAACAAAAAAAAAAATAATTTAAAACAAACAAAGGTTTAACAAAAAAAAATTTGCTTATAACTAAAATTTTTGTTCCATTTTTGAATCGTTTCAAAGCCATTTATTTCGAGGATTTAATTTTCCTTTAATTTCGCTAATTTTGCATATTTTTTAAAAGTTTTATATTAATTAGTTTTTTTTGCTCTAAGGCGATAATTATTATTTAAAATCGAAGAACCCTCTTTTTTGTATTCATTTTCAAAATCGGAATAAATTTTGGTAATATGTTGATGCCAAGCTTTTTCACATTAATAAAAAATTCATTAAGCAGCAATTTCCGCTCGAAAATATTTCGTTATGCCATATCTTTCTTCGGTATTGAGTGGTAAATATCCATTGGAAAAAAATTAACTTGTGAACTATTGAAAATTATTTATTCATTAGAAATATTTTAAGCAGTTCAATCCTTGACCAAGCATTCGAATCGTCAACTTCTTTCTTTAAGATTATTTGAACTAAAATTGGTACAATCATCCATATTTTAATATCGCCTAAAATTTTAATTTTGCAGAACTGGAAAAGGTGGAATACAAGTCGATAATTATATTGTAAACAAAATTCGTGCGGCATGGGAAGGAGAGGAGAGGAGAGATAAAAACTAAAGCAGCGATTCATCTTCAAAATAACGAAATTATTTTCCTATTTGATTATTTCCTAAATGGTTCAAAGTTCTTTCAAAGTTTTTGGAAATTTATTTCCATTGTTTTTTTCGTATTTAGCGAGCATTCCCTTTTTTTGGAAATAAAGAAAAAAAGTAAAAATAAAATGCCCCTTTAATGATTATTCATATTATATAGAAATACAATTTATTACATTTAAAGCTCTTCTATTATAAGAAAATAGTTTACCCTGTTCATGTTTGAGGAAGATCATTCAAAGGAATCTTCTACTGGAAATTCTGTTAATAATAATTTACCCTAAACAAAGAAATAAATATATCAATGTAAAGGCACTTATAAACAAAAATGGAATTACAAACCAAAAAAAATAAAATATATAAGCGATGCTTTTTAAATTCAGACTACAATACATATACACATATAAAACACGGTATTTGATTGGAAGATTTAATTAGAAATTTTTAGTGGTTAATAAAATTTCGGCACTAGAAAAAAAATTAGTTCAGCTATCTCTTTGAAAATTATGCAACTCATATTTTTCTATATAAATTATTATTCACTGCATATATATTTTTTATAATAAAGAAAACATGACTCAATGAAAGATATTCTAGGGCTATCTTCAAGAGAAAAATCATAAATCTCCTGTCAAAAAACTAGAAATTCAAAATTTAAAATTTAAATATGTCTTTGATAACTAAAAAATCTAATCAGTTAGGCATCTGATTGAATTTATTAATATGACAGCATAACGTTGCGTCAAAATGATCACATGATCACGTCTAAACTTTAGCTCTGAAAAATTAGTGCCGAAATAAAAAGAAAGACTTATAAATATACTATAAGATGATATGAGAGTTGTTTGGAATGATATATTCATAATTTAACGATGTTCATGGTGCAGAAAACATGAATGGACTTTGATATGGCGGTTGAACAGCTGAAGGAATATAGGCAGGATGCGTAGGAATATGAAATTTCATTGCATCTCCATACGGATTTGGGTTCTTCAATACATCATAGAAATTAGTCTCGGCTGGACTGCGTTTCTTATTTTTGCTTTTTGAACTTATCTTTCGATTCCTTGTTTGAATTCCTTCTTTTTTCATAGTTATTGGGCGAGCAATCTGAAAAAATATTTTTTTCAAAAATTTTCTGGTATTTCTTATTCAAGATAAAGTGAAATTTCCAAATTTCCAATGCCCATACCATAAAAGCAAACATATTTCTATATAAATTTAACTCCTTTAAATAAATATTAAATACGTAATATAATATCAAATAAGGATTATGGGATTATAATATTTCTGTGAATAGCGGAGTTTTTAAATTTGTAACATTTTCATTAAGATGGGTTTTAAATATTATATATGATTCGTCTTTTTATCAGGTATAAAGATTAATGAAGACTTGTTAGGCTTTCTCTCTAAATCACCAGCAAATGAGGTCAACAATGCCAGTCTATTAACTTTCTTCATAACATTTAACTCAATAATATCTTTTCTTCATCATTCATGGAATTTTAGATTTAAACTAAGCAGAACTGGTACTACTACTGGTACTACTAATATTGCTAAATGGTTATTGAATTTATCCATAACAAATCATAAATCCTATTCCGATAATTTTAAATAATAATTTCTCAGATTATTATTTTCATTTCTATTGCCATTTAAAAAACTGGGAATTCTTCAGGGCCTTCTTTAACCAATTGTTTGATAGATAATATTTTGTACCAGTTACGTTACTGAATTAACAGTCATGATACTTTTCTACAAATTAATTAATGGATCATGGGCATTAATTGCTTACTTTCTTACTTAAATAAAGCAAATCAATGAATGAATAAGATATTCTGAAAATTACAAAAATTAAAAATTTAATCTGTTCATACTAATTTAAATGATCATTAATTTATCACTGATGATTTAAATTCAGAAAAGAGTAATTAAGCACCCGTGGACCCACAATATTGGAAAATTTTTATTTTTGAGGCAATTTTTTGCCAATTAAACAAAAGTATTTGTGAAATCTTAGAATGATGATAGATTGGCATTTAAATAGCTGAAGCACTTGCTGTTGATGGTAGCCAATTTCTTTTACATATCATCAACTTAAACAATGGATGTCAAATTATTTGTGTAAAAGAATCGTTTCCTTTAAAATTTTTTTAAACTAATATTTCCTTGACATTTTTACTCTTTCACACTAGTGAATCTCATATATTTCATATGCAATGATAAATTTCATACCAATAATTCTTATTGAACAAATTTCAGCTTAATTCAAAACAACTGTGAATATTTTTTTGAGCAATGAATTTATAAAAATAATTATCGCTTAATCAATATAAACCAAATCGATTATTATAAACGAAGAAAGGATTACTGAAGAAAGGGAAGAAAAAATTGAAAATTGCAAAATCACAAAAAAATTGAAAAAAATTCACCAATTTTTTTCTCAATTTTTAAATTCGATCAATTGAATTAATAGTTACGACTGAGAAATGATCGAAAGTAACATTTAAATAAATAATTCATTTGAAATAATTCCGCAAAATGAGTAAATTGATAGAAGGAAATGGACGTTTAACAATTCATTACCAAAAACACAGCCTTATAAATTGGTGATTGCAAAAAGTGAATGATGAATAAAGACATATCTTGCGCCAACTGAAGTGACCAGCTTATCAATTTAAACGGATAAAGTGAATGATATTATTTTAAAAACTCTGGCATCAGTTATTAATAAACCAATAAATGCGTTGAAGCAATGCAAAATGTACTCATTACGTAATATGTAATAGATACTAATGGAATTTATGGCTTGGGCGCAACTTTTTAAGCTTTTCACTTGCCTAAACTTGTTTGTTTGCTACGTTTGAGAGTATTTCCGGGTTTCATTTCCAAATTATTTAATAAGATAATTATGATAATATGGTAAGATAATTATCCTATTTATTTTTAAAAGATCGATTAGGATCTAGATAATTGGCGAAATTATGTTAATTATAAAAGAGGCGCGATATTTGTTATCTATAGTTCTACAATGAATTTTTGAACTAATTTTTGTTTCTACTGATAAGAAATTCTTTCAAATCGTCCGAAAGAATTGCCGAGCATATTAAGGGATTCCACAGAATGTACGTACGGACCAGCATATTAATCAGCGAATGAGAGAATACAAAAATTCTTATTGTACGTTGAAATAATACTAAATAATGAAGAATTTATAATTCAACAACTTAGTCTCATTTTATCAAGATTGTCTAACGACAAGTCGCTCTTTCTCATTAGGTGGATCAACGAGTATTCATTACGCGTATTCATTACGAGTATTCATTACGCTGTCATTAATATTTTAATAGTTAGCCTTTTCTTTTTTTTAGGCATTTCCGCAGAGCACAATAGATGAGGAAAATTTGAACGAAAAAAGATGACTAACATTATGAAGTTTATGGTATAATCCACAAGCATTACAAACTGGTTGGCCTTGTGAGTTTCGCCTCCATAACGTTGTATTACTCGTTTTACAATTCACACATTCAATACCCGTTCGTTTTTGTGCACTCTGCAATTATGATGTTTTTTACTAAATTTTAATTTCATTCAAATTTTCTTCGATCTGAAAATATAATTTTTCGTGAAAATCCTCTAATAAAAAAAAATTTTTCCTTCGAAAAGTTTTTCGACATTAAAAAAATTTTTTCGAGATTATTAGCAGATTTTTTAAAATTTTCAGATATTTTACATTATTCCGTATTGGTTTAACATTTTCCTTAGACTTTTGAGATAGATTTTTTTATTATGCTCAAAAAATGTTCCAGCAAATATTTTTTAAGATATACGGTAGCCAATAAATGTCGTTAAGTCATTGAAAAAAGATAATGATCTGAGAAGAAATAGCACACAGAACCTGAGAAAGGTGGAGAAAACGAGATGGAAAAGACTTTGAAAATGAGAGGTATCAGAGAAAGAAGCGAATCTAATTCATTTGATATTAAATGGTTAATTTCCCCATAACACGCTAACTTCTCTAATACTCTGAATCTTACAATCCTCCTTAGATAAGTCATTTTCTCTTGATTCTCTCATATTTCTATCATATTTCATAGAGGTGGCTTGGGTTTCGCTGGAAATAATTTTTGATTACGATAAAAATCAGTTTTCGCCTCCAACATCTATTTATTTCACATTAATTTATTTGCGATAAGCAAAAAAAATAACTCATCAACATTTTTTTGGTGAAGAAATAAATCAAATTAAAAAGTAAATTTAAAAAGATTGCAAAAATTCTAAATTTAAAAATCTCAAAAAAATAATAAATGAAAAATTCTAAAGAAACTTATATTAATTTTAATTTTATTTTAAATTTATCCACTTTTCAAGAAAAATTATTATTCGTTATTCCATAAAATTATTATTAGCCTGAAAATATTTCAATATAATAACGAGCGGGATCAGTAGAGCTGCTTAACAGTAATAGTGTGAGCAGTTAAAAGAAGAGGAGCATTAGTTAATTATAAAAAAAAAAGGATTCAATATGGGCGAATTTAATCGATATGGTGTTATTTTTCAGTGAATCGAGAAGGATTAACTAGAAATGCTCATTATTATTACATCATCGGATTGATGCTAAAAGTTCATATTGTTAATCTGATCATTCGCAGTTGTTTATAAGGCGTTGTTAAAAATGAAAATTAATACAACCTATCTAGTAAATCTATAATTTTACTGCATATACAATATCGTGTATTATAAATGTAAATATATATATACATATATATATGACAGATTTTTTTCAATGAAATGATTGGATTTTTTGACAGGAAAAATTCGAAATATTCTTGAAGAAAAAACTAATTTTAACGAAATCAGTTGACATATAATTTTTTTGTTGTATTTAACCTTCGAATCGAAGATTTAATGAACTTTCAAGTTTTCAAGGAAAAATATAGTGATAAAAATTAGAAAAAAGCGGAAAAATTCAATTTTTGGAAGTAAAGATTGCCTACAACATGAAAATACAAATATTTTTTCAAATTTCAAATAAATTTAGGCGAAAATTTTTTTGCTTTTCTATTTAATCGCATTAAGAAAACGATAAAAATTAATATAATTTGTAAAAAATTATAAAATTATAAATAAAATTCGAGGCAAAAGTCTGGAAAATCTTGCAATCATTGCAATATCATCTTTTTTCTCTAATGATAAGGAAAAGCAAAGCAAATTTAATGATGATATGCAAGCATAGCCATAATAGCAATAAACAGCAATAAAGGAGTTTAGATAGAAGTTAATTCAAAACTAACTTGTCGTTTTTTAGGTTTAACGAGAGGACGATTATGACCATTCATTTTATGATAAAGCCCGCAAGCATTGCATAAATAATGACCAGTACCATCTCTTCGCCATAAAGGCGTTTGCACTGCACCACAATTGGCGCATTCACGTCCTTCTGCTGGAAATTTTTTTATTTCCTCGGTTTCAACATTATATATTATATAAAGCTTTTAAATTTATCGTTAAACCATAAATTCTCAATTTTTTTAAATTGAGAAATTTAATTAAAACATGCAAAAGAAATAAAAAATGAAAGCTTAAACTGAAAAAAAATTCACAAGTAGTATTTCTTGGTTTAGCACGAGCTATCATAACTCCATTAGATGATCTTGATGATGCAGCAGAACATGATGGCGAACAAGCCGATGCTGGACCTGCAAGGCGATTTTGGGTTGCTAAAAAATTAGCAGTATGTATAGGGTTATAATATTCACTTGGTGCATAAGGTGGATATGCAGCTTGAGGAAAAAAGTTCTGTGTGTTTGGTTGACTTGGTGCTGAAAAAAAATTTTATCATAGAAAATCATTGAATTTCTGCCGAAAATAAATGAATTCAGTAAAAATGTGTATATATGTGTTTGTAAATATATATATATATATATATATATATATATAAAAGGTATTCTAATAGATTCTAATATATTGTGCAATTTATTTTGTAAATTAATATAAGAAAAACTTACCGACTATCATAGAAGTCGGGTCCGTTATTACTGGTTGAGCAAAATTTAAGTCTGCAACTGTTGACGGGCAAGGCGGTGATGTATTAATCGCCGTCGATCCTGAATTTACAGCTGGGTTCGTTTGATAGGTCCATGTAGGGAAAAAAATATTCTGATATAGTTGACTGGTGTTTCCTGAAAGCACAATCATGTTTTTTATGAAAAATTTTATATCCTACCTTAAGCAATAATTAGCAGTTCTAATCGAAACAATTTATTTTGGTTTTATTATCTTTGAATATTGTTTTTGAAATTTTTTGAAAGGAAAACGAAGTTGAAACTAATAACCATATCCATCATGCTGAAGCTTCTGGGTGCTCTGGCAATAAATCTGACTGTTCGTTGGCTGTGGTTGATAAAATGTGCTGGATTTTAATGGCGAAAAATTCTAAAAGATATTTTCGTTAAAATTATTGGTCTTCTTCGAAGAAACCTCTTAATCATCTTAACTGCATCAGTTCAAATATTGCAGCAAATATTTTGGTCACAAATTTGTCATTTTTTAAAAGATTAAACGGTTATTCAATGGTATCTTTGTATTTTCTATTCATAACTGCCAATTTTGTCAAGTAATCGATCATCAGCAATGTGATTTGATTAATTTGTTAATCTTTTGATGCAATTTCAAAGAAAATTATTTTTAAAAGAATAAGGACTTGGGAAAAATTTTAATAAAATTACATATAAAGTTTCTGAACGAAATTAGAAAAATTTATTTTGCAAATTAACAATTCTTTTTTTATTCATCCATTGTCAAATCACAAATTATTTTCAATTATTCATCCAGAACAATTCTTATTATGCAAACCGTTGCTTCGTTTTGGTTTGAACCATTTTCTTGATTAATGGAATTTAAATGCAGTCCGTTAAGCTCAGTTGCGCGAATGCTGTGATCATTCTCGACGTTACTATTCTGCAGTGGTTCATTTTGTGTATAAAGTAATTCTGATTGTTGTACTTGACGTGAAAATTTATAGTCCATTATTTCAAGCTAAAATTTTCATAAAAACTTAAAAACCGATGAAAATTAAGTTTCGCAATCGACTTATTCACAGTTTCAGATTTTTTAATATTACAAACATTTATCTTCAAAATTCTAAAAAGTATTTAACGTACACTATAGATAGGTTACAAGGCTAACGATAATTTTTTAAAGACATTAGGAGAAATTTTAATATGAATGTTTAAAATAGTGAAAAAAAATATGCTCAAAGATAGAGTTTTAAGGTTTGTTTTAAGGTTTTCCAGAAAAAAGATTAGCGTGAATAAATTAAAACTTTAAAATTCCTTATAGTATGCACTACTATGGTGCCATTTTTAAAAACTCTGGAATTTATGTAACCAAATTGCCTATCAATCACTGAAATCTATCAGGAACTGAAGGCAATCGAGAATTTTAAGTGAAAACTTTGAAGTGACAAATATTTGCGATTATAAATAATATAATGGAATAAATACGCATACGAATCAAATCAAATCACGGCGCCTAATAGTGGCGTCGAAATGGCAATCAATTGGTGAGTTTATAGCCAACTTTTTATTATCAAACTTTTAGCTTAACCATGAAAAAATGGGTGGTGCTTAGGATATAAAGAATGCAATAATCATCTGGAGCCTTTTATCTTTTCAGGATTCCTGAAAAGATTTTATCATTTCCAGTAATGAACCAAGTGCTTAAAATCGATAATAGAATATTGGCGAAGAATAAAATATCAATGTTATTGATATTAATGCTGGTAAAAATTTTACAAAACCTATAATGAGGTAATTGATCGATTATCCTGCAAAGTTTCTGTTTTTTGCATAGCAGATTTGGCATTATGGGAATGATTTAATATCAGCTTTTTGAAAAAAAAAGCGATAACCGAGAAACGCATAAATTTAAATATCCTAAATTGTAAAATATTAAGAACTAATGAGCTTAATTATTAGGTATAAAATTACTCGAAAAATTTCATTAAAACAATGCGGACAAAGCATGAGAAAGTAGGAAGTCTTCTCAAAAATTTCACCACATTCAGGTTCTATCTTATTCAGGTTCGATTTCGAAGAGCAAATGAAGAGGGAAAATTGTACAAGAAACAAGTATGAGAAAGATTTTCGATAAACAGCCTCTCGAAAAGTCGACCAAATCAAATAATAGGCATATAGCTCGTTATCTTCCAGCAAATAAATGTTAGAAGTTGTTGAAATAAAATATAAATAAAAAGACTGGAAGAGCAGAATATCCCTCGTAAATATTCGTCAAAAAATCTAAATCTAAATTTTTGAGTAAATCTATTAATCATTGTCAAAGAAACTTAAGCGTAAGAAAATTTTAACCACGTAAATAGTAATTAAGATAAGACTTGGTGATAAGATGTTGAGGTAACTTGTTATATTTACCACTGCTTAGCTGATAAAAATCAAAATTGATCTAAACAAGCGATCAAATCTGAAGATGAATGAGGAGAATGAATTATTGTACTCATTGATAACGAAAAGACAAAACAAACAAATACGGATCATATAGCTTTATGAACGGGTAAATCTAATCGGTTCGAGTTCGATTAATAGCTAGATCAAATTTTCGATAATAAGATGAAATCGAGTGATAAATAAGATGATTTAATTAGAAAAATTACTGATAAGGTGCAGATAAACACATGATAAGCTTATTATAAACCGCTGATTAAATAAACTGATAGAGTTACAATAATAAACAGGTAAAATTATAAGAAAAGCAGTTCCCCCGTACCTTTCCCGCGAAAATTTTCTCCATGCCAATCTCTCGATTCATCTTTGATGAAAATGCTGATCGTGTTTGTTCGTATTTGATGGTGATCACGATGTGGAGATACGTCAAATATAGAGGCGTTTCCCAATATATAAATTTATCAACCCTAATAGGTGGAGTCATCGATATTGCCGACGAATCATATTTGCAAAGTAATATTTTCTAATATTCCAGAAAAATTTGCATCCACTTACAGAATTAACTTTGTTTACCAATAGTAATGCGTAATAATTTGAAGGAATAAAAAAGCGACGAAATTTACTTCTTTTAAAGCGAAATTTCAGGAGAGAAATAGTAAAAAAAGGATTTAAAAAATGTGTCAAAAAATGCAATGATTTTGACATATATGTTGGAAATTTGAGTTGGAAATGCTTTCGGGGATTTTTAAATATCGCCAAAAAAGTGTATTTTTTAGTAAAAATAAGGTGACATTAAAAATTCTTTGAAAAATATTTTTCGATTTTTGCAAATGATTAAATTCCTAAGAATTACGGTAAAGAAATGTCATTTTTCTTTTCCTTCTTTTTTATTCTTCACTTTCCAGTGAAATATTCATAATTACACAAATGAGTTATATAAATTTATCCTCAGATTTTATTGATTTTATTATGGGGCATTATTAAATTCGTTACCCGGATAAATCAAATTTTAAGAATAAATAAGCGGTCTTTACGTTCTTTTTTAACGAGATGCTCTCTTTCTTTCTTTCTGTCTTTCAAGAAAAAAAAACTCATTCAGGAGCATCGAAGAAATTTGTAAGAAATTTGCTAAGCAGATCACCGAATATCTTTTAACTTTACCTACCTTCCTTAAGAGGGAAAGAGAAAATCTGTTACATTTTATTTTTGAAAATTTAAGAAATAAGGATCGAAGAAAATTTTTTACAGGTTTTTTTGGTTATTTTATTATCGGCACTCACTTATTCGCTTACTGCTGAAAATAATCATTAATCATTCATATCAGCAGTCATCGGCATCTTAGAACTTATGCATTTTTGTTGCCAACCAACATAACAAATTACTCAGTGAGCTTCAATTGAATCTTATTTTATCAGTGATAATAAAAGATGAACATGATTTTTTTAAGCAATATGTCATGAAATGATAGTAATTATTTTTCGAACATATAAATGAAAATTTATCTTTTTTGTTATTTTTAGTCGTTTGATGAATCATTTAATCAAATGATGATTTAAAATACATTTATTCTACTATACTCGATCACTAAGAGTTCAACATTTCAACATTTATCAACGTCTAAGGTTTCTAAATGATATCTAAATGATAAATGAAATATAAAAATATCAAAAAATACTAATTATTTTGTTAGCAAAAGTTCCTTAAAAAAGACCTTTTCCCAGAAATTCCTAAAAAATATCTGCTAGTAATTTCAAAATGAGAATTGGATATGTTCGGATAAACTATAAACTATAATATTTAAAAGTAAAATAATATTTTTTTATAATATATAATATTTAGCCTCTTATTTTTCAAATTCTCGTTCATAATATCAAAATGTATTAATAAAATATTAAAGAAAAATAAATAACAAATATAGGGCTTCGGAAGAAGTGAAAAATCGCGAAGTCTCTATGAAGATTGAAAATAACGACGAAAAGTGATCAAGCAAAGATTTATTAGCATTTATGGTATTTATGGTCGTGAGCGATAAGCCTTAGTCCCTTAGGATTTATTAAATCAATGGTCTTATAATGAAACCTCCCAAACATTCAAGTCTACAGTAGTTAAGCGGATAGAATTTCTATTTCGATGATGAAAAGTTATGCAGGAAAAAAATGAATGAAAAAGCAGAAAAAAACTATTTTAGCTGGTTTTTGACGAATTTTTAACCTAAATATTACACTATTGATGATCATTTATAAGCGAAATATTCGTTCGCATGTAAGAATTCGATTATTTTTTGGTTCAGTTTAAAAAGCATATTACTGCTTTGCTATGTCTTCGAGATATTTAATTTTAATTTTTATAGCATAATTTTCACAGGAAATTACAGGAATTCGTTAGAATTTTACAGATGGAAGTTTCGAATAGATTTGGGAATAACAGTAAATGAGAAATATTGCTATGACAGTTCAGAAAGGAGTGTTTGCAGTAATTATCAATAGTAATTAATATTTATAAAGCAAAAAACCAAGAAAAAAGTGAATAATAAACTGAAAAAAGCTAGAAAAAACCCTGAATTCATTCCACATGGTCTTTCCATGTTTTACGAGAATCCTTGCATAATTAGTTATCTAAAACGGAAAGACCAAAATTCATTTTCATCCGAGCTGATCAGTTGGTTTTGAAGAATTTTGATTTCTTCAAAGAATCAATGAGTTCTTTAGTTGACTGTTTAAAATTGTTAAATGATGC